ACGTATGTGCTACATTAGCCAACTCACGCCCCAAATGTAAAACAGCCTTCCGTGACGAACAATTATTTGTACCCTCACGTACCTTAGCCACAAGGTGTCAATAGTGAGAAAAGCCCGTGCACTGATCCCGTCTCCCTGTATCGTGTACTATGTGGAACATGGTCGAATTCTCCTGAAACACTCCCTGAGAGCCATCGCTAAGCTTATAATTACGGACAATGGGCGGCGTGGCTTGGCCTGGCCTGGCCTGACGCGGCGATATCTTATATTAATATTATCTTATCTGTTTTTTTTTTTCTTTTCAGGTCAAGTACTGGTGGCTGTGCGCCACAAGGCACCCAATATGAAAACAATGCTTTTGTTGAGCCTTTGTAGTAACCTTATGATATTTCACTTTGGGCACGCGTGGTTGACCAAGAAGATTCGTATCGCTACTCGGGGCTTGGACTGTGAGTGTGCGTGCCACGGCATGCTGTAGCTATCTTGGTGCTATCCATAGTAAGTGATTTGAATCGGATGTTTTGTTGTGGAAACGGCATGGCATTACCTGGGCCACCCTTGATCAAAGGTGGTACTCCATGTCACATTGAACCTTGCATATATATTATATAGTTTCCTAGAAACAGCCAAGGGGTTAATTCTGCCGCGAGCGTTTACCATGACATCTCACATCCATTTCAACCTCCACGTTACCGTAAGTTACCTCTGCCAGAACTTTTTTTTTTCATGTTGAGGAGGACCCCCATTTTCAACACAAAGGGTAATTGGTGTGTCCAGGTTGTGCTGTGCCCGATCTACACAGCATCCGACTCAATCACGGGAGAAGGGGTGACTGTAAAATTAATAGAAATGACTGTTTTGGATGAACCAGGTCCGGAAACTTACCGCCTTTGAAGGTAGTATAATCACTTTCCGAAGTCGCATGCCATTGCTATGGATCGTTGGTAGTTTCTCAGCAGAAATCTCACGTCACAGCTAGAGCACCGCGGGCTTGATGAAAACAATACTACAAACTGATTTTTAGAGTTGATTCTCGGTGTGATTGGTGATTACTCCGCACAGGTTAGCCTAACAATGTAGACTTGGGATTCAGATCGGCGACAATGAGCACTTGTACCGGAGGCTGTCATCATTATTATTTTACAAAAACAACGAAATTGCCGCGTGCCGAATTTAGTAATTTCTGCAAAAGAAGTGGAACAGGGGAAGTTCCGGGTTGGCAGACGCCAAGTCACGTGGTGCCGAAACCGAGATCATGGCTAGTAGTATGAACAAAGGAGAGTCGAGTTGACCGCGGTCAGTAAATTTTTATAGTGAGTCTTTGAATGAGTTCTGGAAGTTAGTCATGTGACTATGTATTACTAAAATAGGAAAGTGGTTAGTGGTAAGGCTATGGGGAATCCCTGGGGATTCCCCCATGCCGTTTATGCCGATGAAAATGTTAGTCAAGTAATTAAGGTTAAATCTGTGAAAATCAGACAAATTTGACGGGTAAGTCAATCTTAACAAAAAAACGTCCAAGATCTAACGGAGCGCGAACTGTTACTAAAGACTACGAAGCGGGCTCGGAGGCGCTTACAATTTTGTAGGTTCTTCCAATTCAATCAACTCACTTCAACCCTTAGCATTCCGGGTGGCTAGACACGGTATCCCCTGTTTTTGTCTCTAAGCGGAATATGTCAACCATGTCCGCCAATTTTACACCTTCAAGCAATACATACGACATTTCCTTTTTATATATCTTCATGATCCCGACACCTCTATCTCTGGTCCTCCCGAACTGAAGTTCTCTTCTCCTCATGGCCCTTTATACTCCACCATCTCTACCTTTAACTCCTTGCACAATGGGCTCATCATCACGTCCCTCACTCCCCACTGAACTCCTAGCCACCTGGTCAGCTTGGCGTCCTTTAGGACAGACAGGTCTCCTGACTCCCCCAATGTCAGCTTCGCTACCAAGGCTCGGTGCACCACAGGTGACGTCCTTGCCCCCCATTGCTCACTTTGATCGTCAGGTATCCTATATGCATCCCAGTACGTGATTTTTGCTCTTGTTGTCTCGATTAGTTTTTGATCTAGTTAAAGTAACACCTCCGCGTACTCAGGACGCGTCCACCTGGTCGCGACCCGTACACGTCGCGAACGTGTCACCTAAACCATTTGCGCATGAGATGGACCAGCACTTACATCCCTTTCAGCAAAAGCCTGCTGAAGATGTCCCTCGGCCAATTGATTGGTTTGACGACTCTTTGAAGAGATCGTCACATTATATCGCAGAGAAAACTTGCGAAATGATATGCTACCTATGGTTCTCTGTGTCACTGTCGAGCTCTACATCTACCCAACCCCTCACTCCTCCCTACTCCCCTGAGATTCCTGCCGCCACCTCCTCTCTTCAGCTTGCTGCAACACCTACCTTTGTGTCTTTCATGCAAAAGTTGCTAGAAACTACCCAGGTCAGCCAGTCGGTGATCGTCCTGTCCCTCCATTACATATGGCGACTCAAGGAACGTAACCGTTTCACCGCTGGTTTACCGGGAAGTGAGTTTCGTATCGCAGTCGCCGCGCTCATGATGGCAAATAAATTTCTTGACGAGTGAGTTCAATGTGCCTATTTACGTCATTGTGTTCTCAAGTATTATTCTAGCAACACGTACACCAATAAGACTTGGTCGGAGGTATCTGGTATCGAATTGGCTGAAATCTCCCGAATGGAGAAGGAGTTTCTGATGGGAATCGACTTCAATCTTTACATCTCCAAGAAAACGTATGATTCATGGATGCACTTATTGAGGGGACTCGTCCACGCCAAAGAAAGGGAGTGTCGTAGATGGCGTCATACTCGCACCCGGCATCGGACGCCTCGTCACAGCCATACTCAACCGATGTCCGCAGCACCAATTCGTTCCTACAGGTGGAGGTGTCACTCGACATCGCATCGGGCACGTTCGACTTCGCCTGAGCAACCCGTTCATCCTCGTACATATTCTTCCTCTTACCACGTGACACCACCAAATCCCGTTGTCTCGCCCTGCCTTGCACCCGGTTTGAAACGCTCGGCTGCTGATGCGTTCTCACCTACTTCGTCATCGTTCCACGGGTTACCGCCCTTGAAGCGTCCCACTGGCATGACTTTGCAAATTCCGGAAACCAATTATCCAGCTGCCCCTCATTCGGCGTCGCCAGTTGAATCTCTGCAGTCCTTCGCCAAGATGTCGTTATCATCATCATCGCCACACTCGGTACGGACCGCACAGTCCAACCAGTCCCACAAAGGTGATACACGCCCGCAAACTTTGGTGGCTGCGTACTGTGCGGAAGGACCCGTTAACGTCCCTCAAGTATGTGCTTTCACCCTAATCCATAATAATTTGTCTCACATTCGTGGTAGAACCTTTATTATTATTCGCTTGCTGGGTCATCAACTGACTATGCAGCGGAAGAGGAAAGAGTCCGCCGCAAAGCCCGATTGCGGTGCTATCAGCCTCAGCCTTCATCTGCGCCATCTAATCCGCCCCCATCATACATGCCACAGGACATTCAGTCCGAGTCTGTCAGCCCTTACGAAATCCATGTGGACGTGCGAGCGGTGCCTCTTCCTCATCTACATGATGCTGTCTGGTCTCGTAAGCTTGCTCGTCCTCCTTCGTATGGCGAAAGTTCTTTGCAATTACCTCCTTTACGGGAAAACGCAGTTCCGTCGGCTCCTTTCGCCAACGCAGGACCACCTGGCGTCCTTTTTTACTCAGCTTCTAGTCAGCGGGAATCACCCGTATATCCTTATAATTGGTCTTATGGCAGATAGTCCTACTCATTTCTGTTTATTGCACACAATTATTGCATCTCATCGGTTCCCCTTTCACATCGAACTTCAACTTACTTAGCACTTTGGCCATATCATTTCGTTGCACGCAATATCATTCATTCATTGACACTGACATACATTCTCGGCATTTTCATTTGTATTTCACTTACATTTCCACGTTCTGTTAGCAGAGATCAAGAAATTACATTACCCTCATAGTTAGCTACTACTGTACGAGAAAGAATGATTACTTCGAACTTCCGAGTTCCGAACTCGTCGGAACTCGTGGGATTACTTGTGAACCAATTGCAAGCTATATGAACCTGATGTGATGTACTTATCAAGTCTACTAACAACGGCAAGTTGGCAACTGTGATGTTATTGGTGCGGCCTGACAGATCTATGACCGAAACAGCCTAAAATTTCGATGCCAATGATCTTCCGAGTCTGGAAGTGCATGTGCGCAGAAGCCATCTTTTTCCCGCATAGGTCAGTGAGAAATGACGGTATCATGCCTGATCATGCTCAGTTCCGCACTCCGCGGTCCACCCTGTCATCGGAGCCCTGTTACAGATCGCTCGCAAGACTTTTGATGTCCCTGCTATAAGTACGAGTTGATCTGCGTGGAATTGTCACGGATGAGGTTCCGTGTCCGTCCGACACGTCCATTTCCCATTACTTTGTGCCCCTATGTCCTCATTGTTAACAGACTTAAGTTCTGGAACTGGTTCTCACCGTAATGGAACGGTCCAGCTCAGAAATAGGTTTCGCCGGGTGTGACGAGACAACCTAACTTCATACGAGAATTTTTAGCGTTCATCCCGGAGTAGCCCATCACTGCAACCAGAATGGCATGTGTAGGCATCTGAATGTCAATGAATCAGACGGATACCGGTCTGATAGATACGCATGGATCTTTTCCGTCACACAAAAGCATCGACGATTCATGTCGGACTTGTTCCTTACCACGCCTAGTAATAGCGTGTAGGCCATTTGGAGTTACATTTGACAGATTTCGACGCCTGATACAAATGCCATGTACGACTGCCAACTCACAGGTTAATAATGATGGCCTTCCGAATTATTATTTGCGGGGCCAGGGGTCGGTTTCAGTGTCTGATGAGACATATTTTGATCTCAATTGAGCCATGTTGGAGGACAGGAAAGCCTGGGTGAAGAAGTAACCGGATAACAAACCCGTCACTAAAGACAAGTTCGTTTCGATTCGATCGAATTTCATATCAGTCATGACTTAGTATGGGCGATGATTCTTGACTCACAAGCACCACTGATAATAGTTTTATTCCGGCCAAAGCCCATAAATTTGGAGCCTACTAATGCTGTGACGCAAGCATTAGTTATCGGACGTGTAAGGGACAATGATAATATCAAAACTTACCTCCTGCCAGGCCCGACGTCAAGCCAGCGAATATCCCGTCTCTGCGAGCCTCCTGCCAACGATATACCATCATTTCGACGTTCCATGCAAAATAACACGAACCCTCCATGCGGCTGCTTTGATCTCTTCCACACCAGGCTTGTGATCCAGCTCCATTGTCTGTGTTTGATCGTGCAGCAACAAGGCGGCCGTAAGCGAAGTTCTAAAATAATTTTTGAAGGGGTAAACTCGAAAAAAAAAATCAGAAAAAGGGTCAAGTTAACCGACCGGATTTGGAGTTACAACTTTGATTTGAACGCGTTTTGTCACGCCACGGTACGCGTTACGTTGTGACGAGACGCGCTTCTACGCCTTTACTCCCGTGTTGTTATCAGGATTCAGAATAGTGTTATGTCCCCTGGAGGGAAGAAGAGTCGGGCTCGGAGTCCACAGGAACTTTATGACGAAATAAAAGGTATCAATCTCCGGCTCCCATCAGACGCATTCATACATCTAACGTTTCCCACTGTAACCCAAGAACTCTTGATCAAGACAAAACCAAAGCTAAAGGACGGAACTACCAGGGATGAAACCATAACGAGGGATTTACATAAGATCGCATCGCTTGCACAGACATTCACAGAACAGCGCCTAAAGTCGAGCAAAAAGAGCCAGTTATCAGATTTCCTTGATCAGGAAGGTTCGTATCATTTTCGGCTTCTGTGCGAACAAACATGAAACCCAAGCGTCTCGCTTTAGGTGTCAGCCTGTGGAATGCGTCCGGTGCGGTCCGTCAAGGCTCTGCACCTGACAGCCGCGTTGTCGTCGCCGCTTGTATGCTTCTTTGTTTTCTATGATTGGTCTCACTTTAATCCAGGCTTGCCAGTGCGGCTAGCTGGATTTCGCCTCATGGAAGCAGGGTTAGAACCTAAGCCTGAGACTGAAGGTTGGGAGAAGATCAGAATTCTTGCGTGATTGTCGCTCATTTATGTTCTATCAGCATTATTACATATTCTTCAAATCGCGAGTAAGGCTGGCGCAACCCTGTCCGGTGTGTTTTGAGCCCAATCATATCTCGTATCTCCAAATATCAACATTGCGTCCACGGGTCCAGAACTCGGCCACAATGACACTGCATCGGGCGTGCTGAGTTGTGCGGCGAAGGTGATATATTCTTGCTAGTGGTGGTTCGTTATTAAATTTCTCTCAAAGTATGAAGAAGCGCTGAGAAATATTGACGACACGAGTGGCACAAATCAGCAAGCCAGGGCGTGTGTTACAGCTGTCTACCTCTCAACCAGAATGGAAGCAGTGAGGACTCTAATCCTCGTGATGTAGAGGCGTTGATATATTTAGGACCTCGTGAAATAGGCTTGGAGGGAAGGAAATGAAGGGTTAGCGGCCTTTATGGCTGACAAAGTCACAGGTTGTCCCTGAGTCCTTTTTTGATATGAACCGCTCTAATTGTCCTCTTAGAGAATGACGGACGGCTCGTGCTCCTTTCAAATCATGACGTAAGTCCCATTCAGTCAACAAAACTTCTCATGGTAAACATTTTCAGCGAGAGACGCTGGCGACTAAGCTTCTTGACATTGGCAAATCACTTTTGAGAAGTTGCTATCAGGATAACAAATTGACACCAGAAGAAAGTAAGGCTAACGAGGCTATTCGATGGATGCAGAAGGCGTTTTCCGTCATCGAGCCTCTGGATTGTACGGCCAATGCCGGGCTCGCTGAGCTCAAGGTGAGCACTTTTCAGTCAACTAGTCACTCCTCATTGAACTCTAGTCAGAGATCGGTTCTCAGGAGTCTGGGTAAGTAAACTTGGCTCCATTCTACAATACAACAGGACTCAGATCGGCCCCCTATTAGCCCGTGGCTACTTCTTGTCATCATCCCAGGATCCAGAGAATTTGATCAGAGCGGAAACCGCGCTAGAAGAAGTTATTGCAACTATCGATTCTTCTGTAGACAACGTAAGCACAGTACTGCCAGTGACATGCTCAAGCGGCATTTACACACGTTCCTGTAGGTAAGCTCCGAATACCAGCAACTCCGATGGATGAAGTTGGCTGTCATAAAGCGGCGGAAAGCTGGAGATACTGTTCTTCTTCAAGGTGAACTTTCCTGGACCGGCATCTTCCACATATAGTGGCGAGTTGGCTTACTCACGTTCTTTCATTAGCTTTACAAGCCATCATTGACAACCTGACATATTCAGAAAGCAATCTTACCGAGTGAGTTTATGGGAATGCTGTAATATGTTCCGTTTCCTCATATCACGTTTCAAAGTGTCCTACAGGAACTTCGGACACTTTCTCAGCATCAGTAAGTCGTCCGATACGGTGCAGTGTTCTTTTGATTCAATGTGGGCGTAGCCAATTAGTCACGAGTACAATTCAGTACTGCCTTCATCGTGCCTTGCAGTGCTCTTGGAGCCCAGACGCCGTGGAAAGGCTTCTCATATCTCTCATATTCCATTGTTCCAAAGATGACAAACACGACAGAGCCATACAAGATCTGCATGCATCTTTCAAAGGCAGGTCTTGTTCTAACTTTGTTGTCGTACGGCTTTGTGCGAATTACTTTCCTTTCTGTGTAGAACTACGTGACGTGGAATTTGAGCTTCTCAAAGCTCCGGCCACAGCTTGCATCACTGTGCGTGGATGCTCCATTCGGCTCATTGAATTATACCGGAATTTTCAAACATTTCTATAGCTTTTATGGCAATACGGTGATCGCCATTACCATGCGGGGCGATGGAACGAAGCTGCGGATTGGTTCACCTGTGGCACACATTCTATATTTACAAGTTTAGGCCCTGTCAGCAGCTCAAAGTGTTTTCGGAAGGCTGCCCTAGCGCATCTTAAGCAAAAGGACTACGCTCACGCGGGGTCCATCATCCGCCGCTGTCCTGACACAGAAGCCACGACACAATATGTAAAGTTTCTTATTGCGGTTCATCAAGGTCTGCAAGGGCATTGCCTCATAGCGTGATTTTATCTCATTTTATTCTAATTTCAGGACTGGAAGACGAAGGTATCTCCATTCTGAAGCACAGGTGGTCGCCTCTAATCGGTCGGTCACTTATCAGCGATAAATACAATACGCAATATGGTTCACGCCGCGAACTTCGATCGCAAGATGATTTTATTGGCCTGCCGGCTTGCACATGACTTGGACATGAAAAATCTTCTTCTAAACGTGCTGAAGGCTCTTCTGGAAACGCTAAACCTCCGAGAGAACGTGGGGAACAGCACTGAAGCCATGACATTGGTAAGATGTATTACCAGGCTTATTGTGAAACTCCTTGGAGAACCTGCTGCCGATTTGTGCGTTTTTGTGGCGTCGAGCACCGAGATACTGGCTGAAATCGTATCAGGAACCGTTTAGTGGCGGCATTACTTCACCACCTGAACATTGGTTGGTCGAAATTTATGGGACCACTCACGGTATTCTAACACGGTGGTAGCGGTGACTATTGCAGAATCATGTGAACAGCCAGCTATGCTTTCACGAGATGTATCCTGGCTCTGGAGGACTGCATATAATTGTGCTATCCAAGCTTGTTCTGATTGGGAAAACAGAGAAGATCAAATATCTGACATCTTTGACGCAGCGAGACGAGTCAGTGACTTTCTGACAACTATTTTCCTGGGGTTAATCAGATCACGCAGCTTCTCGAACTCTACGCTCTACACGCAACTGTAGACGTGGACCAAGCTATCTATATTTACTTGGTGAATGCCTCATTTGCATCCGCTTCGGGCCGTGGTATGTACCCTCAATCCTACCTGGAAGACTACGGCGGCCATAACTTTCTGCACAGTTATGTCTTTCAGACGTTTGCGGTCGCAGACAGAATCGATCGATGTACGTCAAGATCCTCTTTCGAAACCTTCTACTGATTTATTTCAGTCTGGAAAATACCGCGATTTGTTCAACAACATCAATCAATCATTACAACGTATTAGCAAGGTTTTGCGAGAAGAGAAGGTATCACAAGAAGACCTTCCTCGACTTGAATCATCCTTGCAGATTTTACGAGTTTTCATAGTCGAAGCGGCATCTCACCTATCAGATTGGACCACGGTCTTGGCCACCATTGAGGAACGTTATAATTCCCTCATTAGCAAATCAGACAACTTATTCTACATGCAGGAAGCATCTCGCTCTGATCGCGATTCGTTGGAGACGTACGAGGCATTCGCGGACGCTCTAGTGAGACACAATAGCTCTTTCTGCGCATGACTTCTTCAATGTTACTCCTAGTGGGAAGACAAAAACTGTCCCATACACGGTAGATATCATTTTCAACTTCGCGATCAAATTCATGCTAACCAAACCTAGTCCTTTTCACAGCGCTAGAGGTAGGTCCGCGCGGAAGTCGTCGATTCCTCAACTTGATTTGCGTTGTAGGCCACACTTCATGCGTGTTTGGCCCGCGGACATTTTTCCCTGGAGAAATTTGCTCGTTGGCTACGAGCGATGTGTGTTATACTACTGACAAGAGCGACAGGTGCCGATCGATCCAAGGCGATTGGTTACGTGGATCAAGCTATCGCTGTCCTGGAGGAGCACGGCGACGCTAGGGACGGCGGTGAACTGGTAAAATTCCGGTCTCGCAGTGTATCCTGGCTCACTTATTAATACGGAAAGCTCTATCCTCTGGACGAGCGTCAGTGGCTTCTGAGCACAGCGTACAACACTGGCCTCGAGTGTCTTCAGTCAGTGAATATCTCATGGGATGTATGCTGACACATTATTCATCTACCTCAGTGCATCCGTGGTTGATGAAGCAAAGCGTTGGTTCGAATGCTCCACCATTATCTGTCGCTTCGTTCCCGATGGTCGGCAACGTGCAGAAAAGGTAGGCGAAATACAATGTAAAATTAGACTTTACCGCATCCCGCAACAGATATCGACAACCTATAGCGACCTCTTAGCACGCTACCCGACTAGATGAAGCGATTGCACGACCATCAAACAGCTTTAGCACTGCGACTAGATCACCCTACATCTGTATCATTATGTGTGTTTGTTCTTGTATTTTAGCAAAGACCAATGGACTTTGCATTTTTTATTGCTGTGAGAAATGACGCAGCTGATAGAGTAGTACACGACCGCGAGTGTTGCCAATAGCCAGGTACTCGCTCTCACGGGAGAAATCGACAGAGGTTACATGTCCAAGAGGGGTACTTGACGTGGGCCAGTTCCCAAATGCTGTCAATGACGGGCAATGGACCTATAGGAACGCATGAAGTTGAATGAATGAAAGCTTGGGAAAGATGTAATATTGACGCACCATCCGCATCTGATCTTTTTTATCGTTGCTTGCGATAGCAAGTAACTGGGAGTCATGGTTGAACTGCAACGTCGAGATACTTGTTGTCAGGTTCCCAATCGTCTTCAAAGTCTTTGGTTTGCCTCCCTCAAGATCGATCGTGCTCTCTGCGTTGTAGACATTGACCAAACCTGTGTTTGAACTTGGGGCCATATTGTCAATGGAACAACCACCTCACAAAACGAAAACGTACCCAACGGTCAGATATTTTCCTTGGCTATCTCCACCAAATAATCGACTGCCGAACCCGCCTTCATCCTGCCATCGTTTAACGCATTTGCGCTGCCCAATATTCCAAACATAAACCTGTGAATCTTCCGTCAAGCCCAGAAGCTCGTCTGTTCCGGCCTTCGACCACCACAGTGACTTCACATTTGTGTTTGCCTTGAGTTCGCCCACGACTTGCGCTGCACCTGACCGCCAATCGACAAGATGAACCTGGCCTCGCCGTCCTGCAACAGCAAGAATGTCTCCTGTCGGGTTGAAGGAAGAAATCTCCATGCTCGCGCCTTGGTCCCCACGACCCGAAGAGAATGTGGTGCCCCATAGGCCTCGAGGGGAGCGGTGGGAGGCTCCAGACTGAAGGTCGTACGTATAATAGAAAGGTCGTGGACCAGTCATCAATATGGACGTGCCGCTGGGGTGGAAAACGGCATTGGTGATAGGAAGTGATGGGACGTGAAGAGTTTGGGCATGAGGATTTGTGAGACCGTCGATCTATCCACCAAGTTCAAGTTCAAGTACGAAAACATGAGAAGTAATACTCACGTGGAAAAGTCGCAGGCGGCGGTCTGCACTTGCAGTCAAAAGGACGGGAATGTGAGGAGAAGGATGGAATGCGACCGTTTTTATTTCGCCATCCGCTGGCGCAGCTTGATTAGCATCTCGCAATCGCTCAATGGAAAGCGTGCTTGGGGGTATAATTCTTGACTTGGCAGTTGCCAAAATTCCAGCCGTTGATGCCAGTAGTTCCGGCACAACATCCTCTCCACTCTCAGATCCAGAAACTGATGATCGTCGTCTCTTTCCACGTTCCCTTTTCTTGCGCGCGATGGATGCCCAGTCTGGCGTTGGATTTATGTGCTCGAATTGCCTGCGTAATCTGCGTTCGTATTCGCGTCCTCCCACTGTATCATCAGACGGCGCGTCGCGCAGTTTGCGAAGACGGTTATTTGACGCGAGTGAGACCTGAACGTTTACATCGTCTGGGTCTGTCCATGCGGGAGCTTTTGTTTTTTGGGGCTGCTGGGGAATTTCCTGGTGAATAACGGAGATTTCTTCGTCTTCATCACTTCCTGGAACCTCCGGTATTATAGGCTCTTCGTCGTCATCTGCATCAGACTGTACATGGTCTTGAGCAGCTTTGCTGAGCCCGGATAGTCCAGCGTTATCGTCCACGAAAAAAAGCTATAGGCAACGTGAATAATGAAGGGTAATTTCAAGTAGTTCTGGACATACATCCGAGTCGAGCAAATTTTCAAACTCTCGTCCTACTTCATGTGGTCCATCCTCCACTTCCTCATCAGATACAACCAAAATTTCCTTCCCAGCCTTCTCAGGAGCATACGGGACGCCGAATAGCAAGTTTTCGAGACGCCTCTCCTCGTCGTCTTTACTGGTGTCATTGCGCAGGTCAGCACCAAGCGGGACTGTTTTATGTTGTGGTTTTCCTGTCTTTTGACGTTTCCGAGGATTTTTTACCATCGTGACACAATGTTATCACTAGTGGTAGTGGTGAGGCTTGGTGGATGTTGTAAGCAATAACATTCATCGAAAACCGGGTGGCTGTGTAGAACTTAACGCTTTCTGCCATCTACCATCAATCCACCTCAAGCGCTAGTTCGCCATCGTTTTATATATACAGGCTTGAATCTGATCATTCGCCGCACATAACTTTCAAATCTATATGGAACCTGTCGAGGATCAGAGTTCTTCGCAGTCAGGTGCGGTGGCTCCTTTACTGAGATCGTCATCAGGCATGTATCACGATCTCATCAGGTTGTGTTTACCCGGAACCAACTGAGTATCAACCATCTGTCGCGGATGTCCTACGATTAAAACGGTACCTGCAACGCAAGCTTCCTATGGAGCTTATTGAGAGGATTATCGACGAGGCAAATTACTGGCCACACAGTACACTTTACATCGAGCGGCCTATCACCGTTCCACTTTACAGGGAAGGAAAGCGTTCTGAAGAAGGGATATTTATAAGAACGCTCCCCCTTGGCGTTCACGGTACTGAGGGCGAATTCAGGATCCTCGAGAAAGACTTCGAGGCTGGTGGGGCAGCTTGGGAGAGGAAGCTGCTACTTGGCGGACTGGACGACACCTTACCGTCCGCGCCGATGCTATCATCGCATCCGTGCAGAAAGATAGAGTTCCAGAATTGGACTCATGATCAAAGATTGAGGAAGCAGTTTCCTCATACCTTCACCGCATCATACGTATGGTGCGATGTCAGCATAGAGAGATTGGAGACACCCATCTCTGACACCATCGAATGGCCGGCGCGCTTTCTTTTCAACGAGTGTAAAACAGAACTATCAATTATCCCACAAGACACTGGGAGTCCATTATTTCCTCTCAGCACGAAACTGTCAAAAAATCTCGCGGCGAAGACCTCGGGATCAGATCACACCATGTTTTGGCACGCCAGCGATGGATTTGACAAGGATGCTGACGGTGACTGCTTTTGGCATTTTCTTGACAATACCTTTGACAGGCAAGACGCCAAGACAGCAGAGGTGGGGAAAATGGTGCGCAGCTTGCGAGTAGGAGATTGCATGTCCCTGTTCGCTCATTCCCGGTTTCCCAACTCTGAAGGTAAAGTTCATCAGGCCAGGGTCACTGTGTATTGGGCGGTATAATATCTTCCACTTCCAAACTAGCAGATATACTACCTCCTTCAATTTTCCGTTACTTACGAGCCAAGCTCATTTACAGTACTTGCTATGTTATAGAGAAGAAATCTGTTCACTACAATTTCCACGCGTTATAGTGTATCCATTCCATCCTACGACCGTCGAATTAGTGCAGGCAACTTAATCGTCATAGATTGGCTGAGCCCTTTACTGCAGAAACCCTCCGTATGACTCAAGGCCTCCGATGCAACTGATGCCATGACAGGAACTCCGAGTCGGAGATATACTCAAGTCTAGCGAAATCAACAATTCAAACACAACTTTGAAGCTTCCCAGTTGCCAGTGAATAATGACTGTGTCGCAGACATTGTTACAACTAAAACGAGACTTGCGACCCAAGCTCCCTACGTGACAGAATTACTGACGAAGCATATTGCTGGTCGCATGGGCTAGCTCAGCATTCCCATGTGGAAAGACAACAGATGTCCTGGATGGCATATACGTTACTCCTTAAGTGGACTTCACGGCACTGAGACAGACTTCCGACTGGACTACAAGTAGTCACTGCGGACGACTCATCATGCCCCGCAACCACGGCATCACATCCCTTCAGAAATATCGAAATATTGCTTCTGAATTGATAGGACAGATGAATGATGTATGAGGTTAGCTTAGGGAAGTTGCACTAGAGGTCTGTCCTCACAAAGTAATAATTGAATGGCCAGCGTGTATTCTGGTCAAAAATTTCGACCCCAAGGCCGCCATTTCAAGTGTTCAAAGCCACGACACCAGGCCATTCCTTCCTCCCAATCCGATACTTCACAATATTATGATGCTGTGACGCTGAGCGGGACGCCAAATATTATAGGACACCATTAATGTTGTCCGGCACTTTCTCAATTCCTGCGACGAAGAACCTGTAGAGACCATTACGAGATATGGTCGTGGCCTGCAGGCTCTGATTGTACAGTTATTACGCAGTTTGCAAGCAGGATATTGTGTTACCCTGCAGGCTCGAACTAGTATTGTCACATTGTTCCTTATTTGGTGCCGTACGCATAACCAAAAGGACAAGATCACGATATGACACCACGGCGCCATTACCGTGTGGCTGGAAGCGATTTGCCTAGATGTCTAGTATAACACCGTCTGGCCGTATGAATGGTCTGAAGATCCGGGCTGCGTTCTTTGACAAGGACGTTAGGTACGATCCACACAAGTGAAGGGTCGAGATCACTAACAAAGGGAGACATATTGGTTTCTCTTGAAGCGACTCGTGAGACCATGATCGGCTTGGCTGTCTGTCAGAGTACTTGCCAGTGATCGCGCCAAGCGACCCACGACGGCCCTTGCATTAGCACACTTCCTTTGACTCTGAGTACTTATCTTGGAGTCGTTGTGCACAAACCTAGTCCAGGTACCAGACGACATAGGTGACTTCCGCGGTATTCACGGATGCTCCGTAATTGAACCGCACAAGCCATTTCGTAGTAGGATACTCCGATATGTAAGCAATACGTCGTTGTCGGCAGGAGGAGCTATGGTCACTAGGCGGACTCCATGCTGTCCGGCGAAATCGATATCTTGCAGAATTAGCCATAGACAAATCATCCCACTCATACCTGTTTTCCGCGAGAGATGACGATTCCTTCTCGTGGGTTACTCGAGTAGACTCATCAACTTGAGTGCACCTCGCTTGGATTTGAGGCAGCTACATTCTCATGGGACCTTTTTCGTGGTAGTTCCGTCTCACAGTCTATTCCCAGTCAGGAAAGGACGGGATGATCGGGTTTTGGGGGTATGGCGTGGTTCCGATGTCGAGCACTTGGGGGTTGACTTCCTTGCACAGCGGGCGTTCCTATGGAGTGGGCCGGCATCACAAGAGCACAAGGGCACTTTGATTTCATTACGCGAGAAGTTTTGGTGCAGTTTTTTAGTTGGCCAAATTTGTTGCCACCGTAGTATCATGACGAATCACGGCCTCCCCAGTTGAACTGCATTTAGTTTTTTTTTTCCAGCCCTGTTGCCAGTTACAATGCTAATTAGAGTTGACATCTGTACGTACCCATATATGAGATATTGATGAGTCGGTTTGGAGCAACGTATAGCTATTAGCAAACGTACAGCACGAAAGATCTTATCGCATTAGCAAGGCTTTTACTAGTATAGAGGGGGTTCAGCTGAGCGATGGAGACCACTAACTTGCGATTTGCATCGTCAAGGAAAATTTAAGGAATGTCCGCGGTTTACTCCGTTTGAAAGAAGACGGCAATGTACATTAGCCGCTTTCCCCCGGTCCGCGCCCATTTGAGCTTCAAGGCCACTCAGTCTCAGCCAGCTGCCAGCCAGACTGCTATACCGCGATCTGTACTTCTATTTTTTTTCTCGTAGCAGGACATTGTCCCTTCCTGCGCTGGAATCATCCGAGACACGCCAATCACCAGCACTGCCAGCGTGTTGATACTTGTTGCTGCTTTACTCCTCTGGAGCATCTGAATCAGCGCGACTCCCACTCAACTGCCTCATCCATCATTCAATCTGTTCTTCAATTATAGGACTTCCCTGTTGCATTCGTAGCTCTAGAGCCCCTCATTCGTTTCTGCTCTAGACTAAGAAATCATGGGTGCATGCATGTCGACAGGGGGGATGGCGGATATCTCGGATGATGATAAGCGGAGGCATAGAGAAGCGGAGAAATATCTCAAGGAAGTGAGTCTGCAATGTAATGATGCTGCACTTTGCTTGTCATTCTGCACATGTCCTGGTAACATGATATTGACCATATCTATCATATAGGCCAAGGCCAAGATGGCTTCCCAGGTTAAGGTACGTTTGACGCCCAGCTCTCGTATGTTATTCACCATCATGTATGATACCTAGGTTCTTCTCCTAGGGTCTGGCGACTCAGGAAAATCGACAGTTCTGAAGGTAAGTCACTTTTACCAGTCCACCTGCTGTCAGTTCACGAGGCCTCTTTCGTAGCAAATGCGACTGATTCATCGGGTACCCTTCTCACCAGGAGAAGTTGAGACTTATCGTCAACTAGTGTTCAACAACCTGACGACAGGTCTGAATTACGTATTCGAGGCCATGGAAGATATGGAGCTCCAACTTGCGGAGGAGAACTTACCACACATGGAACTCATTCAGAACGCTCGGGATATCCGTGAACAGGAGTCTTTTCCTATGTTATACTACGAGCCCTTGAGGGATCTTTGGGCTGACAGCGGGGTACAACAGGCGTATGGAAGAGGGAACGAGGCTGCTCTTCCTGAAAAGTGAGCCTCGTGTTTTGTGCCTTGCTTCCTCGAGGCCTTACAACTCCAACTACAGCTTGTCGTACTTTTTCTCCTCGCTGGACAGATTATTCGACCCATCATATCATCCAACCGAACAAGATATCGTCCAGTGCCGAGCTCGCACTATTGGAATAACCGAGACAACTTTCCATCTTAAAGACCACGAAATGCTCATGGTCGACGTCGGTGGTCAGAAGAGCGAGCGGAGGAAATGGATTCACTGTTTCCAGGATGTCACCAGTATTCTATTTCTCGTCAGTCTAAGCGGGTATGATCAATGCCTTGTCGAGGATCGAGATGCGGTGAGTTGCTTTGCACCTTGTGCTCTGTCTGAAGACGAACCTTCGGTTTCTTATTCCAGAACCAAATGCAAGACGCTATGACAATATGGGACTCAATATGCCATTCGCAATGGTTCAAGCAGACATCGATAGTACGTCAGGTTGTCCTCGTTGTTTTGAAAGCCTTTCACGCGTGCTACCGCATTAGATTCTCTTCCTCAACAAGGATGACCTCTTCCAAAAGAAGATCGTCAACTCTGACATCAAAAACTTCTTTCCGGCGAGTCTTTTTCCTCCGACTGGCTCATCATACTCAATCTACCTCAGGACTACGAGGGTGAAGCAGGGGACGCAAAAGCTGGACGAGATTATTTCCGGCGACGTTTTACGCGACTCGCTCACAAAGCTGGACGTTCCAAAGAACGCGAAATCTACATTCAGTACGCATTTTCTCTTATTCACTGAAGTCGCAACCTTAACGCTAGAAAGTGTAACGACTGCGACAGATACGGAAATGTTGAGAGTAGTGATGGCCGCTGTTGAAGGTTAGTTACTATGCGGATATTTTTAGGATTGAGTTACTAATTTCTTTCCTTCCAGAGTAAGTTCGTCCTTCTATTGATCCTTCCCCCGCCCGCCAGTGATGTCGTCCAACCGTACGCTCATCCATTTCCCACCACTCTTCCCTTTCCTTTCATAGCATCGTTCTTCGATCCAATCTCCAAATCGCGGCACTAATTTGATGTTTCTTTTTTTGCTCTTCATCTTACGATTTATCCATGTCATCATCAACGCATCTCGCTATCGTGCTCAAAAACATAATGCTATCGCCGGGACACAAACTTGCATACTCAATTTTCAACTATAATTTTCCTCTACAATCTTACCATTGCAACCAATCTCTACTGGCCCATCACGTAACTGTCCGATTCTGCGGGCTTCTTTTGCATTGTTCGAAAAAATCAGTGCTGTCATAAGCAAAAACGTGAGTTAGCCCCCCTCTTCGATTGCGAAATTTTTTCGCAGGAACGCTGATGCCGGCTACCTTGTCACCAGATCCGCGAAATCATGCTTTGAAGATTGTCGCTCCAATTGGAGCCTAATGTTGATTAGGCCGCAGGCACAATGTAGCAGTACCCAGGAAGCGGAACCCCCTTGTGGCAGCATACCATCTAAAACAGGAAGACACCCCGCTCGCCTCAACGACTGGTTAGCACTTTTTCACTCATTACAGAGCAGGGTGCCTTCACTTGTCGTTCTTCACACATGTCGTATGTCTCCCTTTGACATTTCTCCCAGAGCTATCGTGATCAAGCTGCTATACATGCCGCACCTACTATGTATTAATAGGATATTGGGCCATGTACTGTTTGCTTTGCTTATGGTATTTATCTTCACCGAACGCTTTTTGCGTCTTGGTTTGGTTTAGTTTAATGTATTTTTCATTCGCTTCTTTTTGCATTTGCTCCAGCTAACGGTTTTGTATTGGCCTTTATAATATTTGGCAAGAATTATGACAAAGTAGATCGGCTCCCTGTGATATCAGACTAGTCTGGATGAGGTTCTGGAACAGAGCGCGTGAGTGCTAAAGAGTCAAGATCCGTTCATACAACCTTCGTGCTACCGAACTGCATAATTTTATCGATGTGCGACTTTGATCCGAGGTTACAGTGCGCCCTCCGCATGCGTTCGAAGCTTGTACCTACGGAGAAAAGGGGTATTTTAACTCGGGAACCGCCGACTTCTCCCCATTTGCCATGACTCATGTGGCCCGTTGGCGAATTTCTGGGAAATACATTCGAGTAAGCGCTGAATTAATGAATGAAATCGGTGAGCCGTTAGCTCTGTTCCGACATCACCACAATCACTTTCGAGGGGCCATGCGGTGTTTCCTCGGGTACGAACTGGCTCCCAGTGGGCCAGATCCATGGGAAGAAGATGCTATCAATTGGCCATTGGCCCTTTGGCGATTGATGGTGGCTATTTGCGAAGATCTAAGAGCAAGGTTTTCTATGCTTAGATGAGGCTTCTTAGCCTGTTTGCGCCTCTACCTTTGAGCCCTTGAAGCTTGAGGTCCGAAGTGAACTCACCCATAGCGCCGGACACCAAGATAAGCCTCGAGTGCATGACGGTCATCATGTGATTTCTTTCTATCCGTGCAGTTGGGCTGTAGTTGCGGTCAGAGTGTCGTCACATCCCTGTTTCAGATACAGTGGGCCCGCCCGCAACAGATGTTTGATGAATGATCGAACTCACCTATGGCCGATACGAATCAGAACTACTTCCACAATACACGGCCTTATTTCCGAAACTTGATGAGATGGTGACGCAATGCTATCTGAGGAAAATACAAATTGGAGAAATTGAGACGCGGCGAAGCTTGCAGACCGTGAAACCCGGCTCATGCATCATGGAGCGGTGCCTGTGTTGGAGGCGCAGGCTGCGGCTATTTGTAGATGATGCCCTTGAGTGGTTAGAATATAAGGGTATATTCAGGACATTAGCGCGGGCGAATAGGCTAAACTGTTGTGAGTTCCTTTCCAATTTGAATAGAATCGATACGTCCTAACAATGCCAATGGTCCACCCGGTGCCAGTGTGATTGTCAGCGGTGATACTGAGATAGCTGGAGACATAATGTTTGGCTAAAGTAGCAACCACGTTGGGAAAGTCTTCTATGCGTATTTCCGCAACTTCTGTGGGCAGTGGAGGGGGGACACCAGTCTTCTGGATAATCTCCGAGATTCTGATGGCCTGAGTGTTATATTCAACGTGTTAATTGAACCAACCTGAGTGGAAGCTGAAAAGAATACTATGTCCTTGTCATAGGCCTTGCGCAACTACCGCAGATAAGGAATTCAAAAAGCACTTCAGAGCAAGTGAAAAAGCATACACGCCTCAAGCGCGCAGACAAAACGTGGACAAAGTGCACGTGACCGCATAATGACCTCATTATAATTGTCCTTCCGATCATGCATACTGAACTTCAAGTTATCAAGTAATCCGTACTAGTGATCTTACCACCAAGTGCTTCCCCAGTTCTACTTGTAATGACTTTCGGCGAGGTTATACACTACGTGACCAATACGTGAGGCCCGAGTCAGACCCAGCCTACTGTGACAGGCTGGCCTGAACCATTGCGCAATATCGCTTCCTTGTTGTCGCCGTTCCACTATTCCGAGTCTTCGACAGGCCAAGTAGATTGTAAAGACCGCTGGTCACACCCGAGAGACCACGTCCGCGGAAACGAAAGAGATCAATCGCGTTCAGTTGCAGAACCCATTTCTTTATTGTCTTGATAGCAATAAAACGACACAGGGTCAATGAACATGAAAACCTCCTGTGATAAACCTGGTAGGCAGGACCTACTGCTCCCAGTGCTGTTGGCCCAGTACAAGAAAAGGGACCACTCCATCATTTCGACAGTCATGAACCAGAGGTCTCGGCGCTTACCATCCTTTCCGAGCTCGGTATCACAAGATCAGCCTGTCTTTGGACGGCGCACTTGGTATAGTTACGATGCTGAAGAAGACAAACGATGTATGTACTTACTGCCTTTGTTCACCATTTTCAAACGAGCTCACGAGTGATCAATGTAGCAAATCTACGTCATGGACCACAATGTCCGACAGTATGATATCAGAGACCCTCTTCAAGCACTGGAGTTTGTGTCTATTCTGCCGCGCCTCGCGCGTCATGGCCTGGGCCTCCGCCGTTTGTTAGAGGAGCGGCTTGCCACTATAGATGTGAACCAAGTTCAATCAAAGCCGTCGTCCAAGTTGTCACAATGGCAGGAAGACGACATATTGGCGACCGCTGGACAGAATTAACGCAAGGGGATACCAATGTTTCCGTTCGCACATAAAATATCACTTAGCCGGTCCAAGTACTGTTTGTCAGCGCTACATCGCACTCATATTCGTGTCTCATACAGGATTAATAAACTTGCTCGGTCCTCGCTTGAGCTCAAGATCCAATAGTTGTTATCTGGTCTTCCAATTCTGATTCAAACCCTTTCTCAAAGCCTAGTCAATGCCATTCTCAAATGATGGCTGCCGTTGCTGATTTCCTTGCGAGCAGCCTGGATCTGAAAATTGATAAAGATAGCTGGTTTATAGATCTCATAAATCAAAATGTGTCTACAAGTAGTCCCACTGGTCTACACGTTCTCGAGTGAAAGATATTCAGAGCCGAGCACTGAGTACTAAGCCCCTGCTGCTACTAGTAGGCATGTCGTGTTTAATTTGATATGTCGAGCCTCGCGGGCCCGGCTGTGCGTTCAAAGTCTTTGAAATTCAAATGTTGTTATGCTTCAAAGCTTCAAGTTTGCTTCAAGTTGTCCTCCCAATGGACTGCTCCGAGTAGACTGCACGTGCTAGTATCTCTATATTGTTCATTAATATTCGTTGATGTTGCCCCATTCGATTTTGTTGTTAAGCGGTCGCTTATCGATAAATCGTCATGTCAGAGATTGCGGGTCCTGCTGCTGCTGCCTTGGCATCGCTATGCCCTGACGACCTAATTTTCCTTCAGGCACTCCCTAAGGCAGAACTTCATGCTCATCTTAATGGATCAATACCAATCAAAACAATACTGGAACTTGCGCAGCAATACTCACCTTCTACCGCCGCACAGACGACTGAGGTCGCAGACACTCTCGAGAAACTCAGGTCTGGAGTCGTCGTCTTCAATGAAATAGATGACTTTTTCTCTCTCATGCCCACCATCTATGCTCTGACATCCACTCCGGAAGCAGTCACGACCGTTACTCGTGCAGTCCTCCAGTCGTTCTTGAACCCCACAGGTGATGGTGCGGAAAGCCCTCAGTGCACGTATCTTGAACTACGAACTACACCTCGCGCGACGACACACATGACGCGAGAGAGGTACCTTACAGTCGTGCTTGAGGAAGTAGAGATGTATCCTGCTACTCAGGCCGCCCTGATCGTATCCGTCGATCGTCGCATGAGCGACTTGGACCTTGAGGAGTGCGTTAGTCTTGCTATCGAGATGAAGAACAGGGGTAGAAGAGTCGTAGGCGTTGATGTATGTGGGGATCCACGCAGGGGTGACATGGAATCTTTCACTCGGCACCTATCAAGAGTCAAGGGCGCCGGTCTCGGATTGACCGTGCACATCGCGGAGGTACCTTGTGATATTCCCTCTGGTGTATGCAACTCAATGATGATGTTCGAATTTATAGTGCACAGAGAATACAACTGAGGATTCTCTGGCACTCCTTAGTTGTCGCCCGGATCGACTTGGACACGCGACATTCCTTTCAGATGAACTCAAGGCTGAGTTCTTTGAGGATATCTCGCAGCCTGGGACGGAATGCGGCCCATTGTTTAAATGTGTTACAGGCACAACAAGCCCTTACACGACAGCCGGACAGAGATTTCAAAATCTCAAAGTGGGTTATTTTCTACGCTTCATTTCAGATAGCATAGAGTCTGAGGAAGCGAAAGTGCAGATGTCTTTCTGGGCCTATGCAAAGAAATTTTATGAGAAAATTGCGTCTAAGGATATCGAAGGGAATAACGCGCGTGCAAACAGACACTACAAGCCGTGCATCGAGATATGCCTAAGCTCCAATCTTCTGTAGGATCATGCATAGACTCTGCGAGCTCTAATCCAATGTTTCTTTTAGAGGCAAAACCGCCGCATCCCTCGAAGCGCATCATATTCACTATTATCTGAAGAATGACCATCCTATCGTCATCTGTGTAAGTATGCTATCTTGCGTGTCGTAGGATCTTTCCTCTGACGTTTTACATTACCAATAGACTGACGACGCACTCCCTTTTAGAACGTCTTGTCTTGGAGAGTACTCTTTGCTTCTAGCACAGCCTCCGTTAGGCCTGGGCTTGAGTAGAGGTGATGTAGCTAGAGTCGCGCGGATGGGCATGGATGCTGCATTTTTGAGACCTTGTGATTGAACTAGATTTTCAGTTTCGCCTACGACGTCGATTTAGATGGGATGGGTCCTGACTCTAGAATACTAGTCGGTCACAGAGCAGGACGGTACATATCCGGACCTGTGAAGAAGAAGATTACCTGTACGATACCTGCGAAATGTAAAAGAAATGCTAACGAAGAGATGTCGCGAGATGACACAACTGCACAAGTAGATGGTTGCCATGAAATAAAATGCAACATAAGATTCTTCGTCCTCCCATCACCTCCAGTGTATGGCCAGTCACGTACGTCGCAAGTGATGAAGCAAGACTGAAAATCAGTTAGCTCAAGTACCGAGATAGAGGCTGAAACGCACAAAACCATGCCTTCGGCCGCCTCATCAGCGGTGGCACCTCTCTGCAGAGGAAACATATTATTTTTTGAGTGAGCATATAGGTCAACTTCTTCGCGAGCATGAGAGGAGAATCAAAACTTAGCTTGTGAGGCTCGGCATGTGGCCCACGAGTTGTGCATGTCCTGGAGGTGCAGCTGGGGAAACGGGCCGAGCAGAACAATCTGGAAGTTGCATGCTTGAGAATCAATACGTCCCAACAACTTGGCTCATTCTTTTCATCAAGCTGAGTTCTTGTCCAATGCCAATGGTACACCCGGTGCTAGGGTGATTGTCATCGATGATACCGAGACAGTTGAAGACAAAACTTAAGCGTAATATTTGCTGCTCGACCGTTTAGTTTCACGTTCAATGTTAAGATCATATTGGTAAACCTTAGCCTGACGGCGGTTGCGACTGCGCCGCAGGAAGCTAACAGACAGCCGGGTCTCTTGCAACATTGGTATGAATTGGTAACACGTCGAAGCCCATCCTGTGTTTACTGTTGGATTATCAAACCTTCGTCATGGACACTCGGTACCGGTAGCTTACCTCGTACCTATATATTCTCGCTCGTTCCCGCGCCTCGTACTACCCTCAGTTGACTTCGTACGTCGCTGATAGTGATGTTCCGGCCCGGCTTGGGCTCAAAGCCCCGGCTTAGGCTCGGCCTGGGGGGGGCTTAGGCTCACCAGATTTCAAGCCTGAGCCGTGAGCCCAAGCCGGCCCAAAGCCGGGGCTTAGGCCCATGCAAGCCGCGGCCCAAACCGATGTCCGAGCTCCACCATGCTGTTCCCAACACCACGAACACCATGCGCAAACACCCAGCACACGTCAGCAACTGCTGACGTGGCTCAGACGAATACGGACGATGGACGAGAGCAGGTGAAGGGAAGAAGACAAGGAGGAGAACGTTCGGACAGGGATGGAAGGGTGTGTGGAGGAGTGGCGTAAGAAGTGATATAGGCCGGAAGACAGCTGTTGAACTCGGAAGGTTGTCCGACCCAGTCGAGGATGGTGATGTCTGTAGGTGGACATGGACACTGAAGATACCAAATAATGAATACGCGACGACTTCTTGCAATGTGGTGACGCGAGATGACGCCCATTGAAGTCTCCGTCGAGCGTCGCTCATCCCAGGACGAAAGGAGATCAGACGTGCGTATGTAGTTGAAGTTGAGAGGAATCGCTGTCGACGTCCAAACCCTCCGAGTCGAACGTTGCCGATGAGACCGAAGGCGAGGAACGACATGGTGAATAGATCGTCCGAGCGCAAGGGAAAAGAGGCGCAGGGACGAGAGATGTGACGTTGGGGCCGAAATCTTCCAAGTATCAATGTTTCGTTTCAATATAGATTAGAAAAGGACTTACCGTATAAAAGGCAGCATCCAGCCACCCGAGCGTCTCAGTTCTGACCAAGATACTGAGACGTGAGTTAGCTTTTACTTTACACTTCGAGTAGCCGTACTGATGCGACGTAGGAGACTTACCTGTTAGGTACATACGTCGTCAATAAAGAGTTCTGACCAAGATACTGAGATGAGACTTACCTGTTAGATCCTGCTGCGCCTTTACGAGTTCTAGAATCGCGTCATAGTAAGAGTCAGTAATGAGAAAATGCCAAACACATACTTGTGGGGCGTGACCACTGACGTGACAAGGTGTCATATACTCTATGTACCAAAGCCGCGGCTTGGGCCGCCGGCTTAGGCTTTTCTAAATTCAAGCCCAGGCCTAAGCCCTGCTCAGGCCGTGACTTAGGCCTGGGCTAGGCCCGGCCTATTTGGGCCCGGCTTGGGCCGGCCCAGGGCTTCAAGCCGGGCCTTGCACATCACTAGTCGCTGAGGTTAGTACCATCTAGTATTAAGTATCTACTTAACTAACAACACATGTAGCTATCTGCTACAGGTATACCAATACGATTAGTTGACTTCGTACGTCGCTGAGCTATCTGCTACAGGTTATGAGCCCTGCGCATCATTAGTGAAAATTTCAAATTAAGCGCGCGAAGAAAAGACTCACAAAGGATGTCAACCTCGAACGGAAAACTTGGAGAAGATTTCCTCCGCATCCCGAAGCTCGCCACCGACGGCGAGAATTGGATGATGTACAAAGAGCGACTTCAATGGTCCATTGATGCTCGCGGGCTGCTCGGCCATTTGGATGGCACCGAGACGAAGCCTATAGACCCCAAGACGCTGCCTAACAGAGGAGCGTCGTGGGTACCTGCTACTCCGGATGAAGTGAAAGAAGTTAGTACATATAAAACAGAGTTTAAAGAATGGCGCACCGGCCAAGCCATCACGAAGCAGCAGATCGCGGGAACAATTCCCGATTCCCTATTCATCCAAATCAAAAACCTAGACACGGCCAAGGACATCTTCACGCACCTTTCGAGTTTGTTCGAGCAACGCTCGCACGTAGTCTCCGTCGAGCTACTGCGCAAGCTACAAGACCTGAAATGTCCTGAAAAGGGCAACGTACGTGAGCATTTCGACAAGATGCGCACTGCAAAAGAACAACTGTCCTCGTTGGGGCATGCACCTACCGATGAAAGCTTCGCAGCTATGATAATGAGCTCCTTACCAGCCTCCTATGACCCGCACCTGTCGGCGCTCACAGCGTCAGCTAAGGTTTCGAGCGTCAAGCTCACCGCCGATACGTTGATGTCGACCATCGTCGACAAGTACGATCGACGAGCCTCCAAATCGAGAAAAACCGGATCCTCCACCGAAGACGCTGCCTATAATGCAAACGCGAGTCAGCGAACTCGTAAAATTAAAGGAAATTGCCACAATTGTGGCAAATACGGCCACATGCAACGCGATTGTAGAGGACCCGGTGGAGGAGCAGCAGCTGGGGGAAAGGGCAAGGAAAGATCTGACGCCAAAGGCAAAAGGCCAGAGACTGCGGCCACAGCGAAGGACAAAGGCGACAATGACGAACCTGAAGGAGTTTGGTTAGCGCATGACACAAGTGAAACGTCAGAGCAAACAACATACACGTACGCGACAGTATCCAGCTCTAACTCCATGCGCGAACCCAAAACGGAACTGTTCGACTCCGGAGCGTCGAGACATATGTCGTCCTATCGAGATCAATTCGAAGATTTCGTTAGTATAACGCCAAAGCCTATTACCACAGCAGACAGACATACCTTTGAGGCCATAGGCAAGGGGAATATACGAATCACCCTGCCGAATGGTCAGTCTCAAACAAGGATACTACTGAAAGACGTGCTGTACGCACCGAAGATGGGACTTACGCTGGTCTCGATCAGCAGACTAGCCGGCGCCGGATACGCAGCGCTCTTTCGGGAAGACACGTGCAAAATATACGACGCGCAAAAGAAGCTGTTAGGACAAATACCAGTCAATAAGGGTCTGTACTGCATCAAGGGCCCGAAGAAGCCGTTTGCAGGAGCAGCAAAGGCAAACGAGGCACTCACTATGCAGGAGATACACGCCAGATTAGGGCATATAGCGCCAAGTACCATCGTGCGCATGCTGCGCAACGATGAGATCACCGGAATATCTCTTGATCTGGCGGAACAGACGATGGACACTTGCGAGTCCTGCGAATACGCCAAGGCAACACGCAAGCCCATCGGAAAGGTTCGAGACCCGCCAAGACGCGAAAGCTTTGGCGACGAGGTCCATAGCGACCTGTGGGGACCTTCACCTGTCAGAACTCCCGGTCAGAAGGAGTATTTCGCGACGTTCACGGACGACCACACGTGCTTCACCCACCTCTACCTCCTCAGGTCCAAAGACCAGACCTTCGACGCCTACACTAAGTTTGAAGTGTGGGCCAATACACAACTCAACGCGAAGGTAAAACACCTTCGTTCGGATCGAGGGGGAGAATATACCAGCGATGAGTTCACGCGTCATCTAAAGAGCAAAGGAACGGAGCGGAAACTCACTGTACACGATACGCCGGAACACAACGGAGTGGCCGAACGGTTGAACAGAACCGTTGTCGAACGCGCGCGTGCACTACTGCACGCCAGTGGGCTGCCAAAACATCTGTGGGGAGAAGCCATCATGCATGTCACTTGGCTAAAGAATCGTACCTCGACCCGCGCGCTAGAAAATAAGACGCCGTATGAAATGCTATTCAAAAAGAAGCCCAACTTGAATGACGTACCTGTCTGGGGATGTCGCGTCAAAGTTCACTCAGCAACCGGTTCGAAACTTGACATGCGGGCAGTTGAAGGCAGGTGGATGGGATTCGACGCAGATAGCAACGGTCACCGCATCTACCTCCCCGAGTCGCGAAGAGTCGCCGTCGAACGGAGTGTCGTGTTCGACACAGCAGAGGTGGTAGTGCCTATAGAAGGGAGTGAGGTACCGGCAGACTGCACGGTACGAATCGATGATGTCGGTTCATCACTCACCGGGAAACCAAAACCCTCAAACCCCAACCCAGCTCCCTCCATCGACCACCTAGGCCCACAATTCGAAGCTGCGCAGTTGCCGCGTAGATCTGGACGGGTAAGAGTAGAATCAGCGTACATTAAGAGTCTGCGCGATGGCGCAGGCACTACAGATGGACGCAGTAACGACTTACCTCGTGGGATGCAACCCACTCCAGAAGTATCCAATTTGGCGGCCGAGCTCGGACTGGTGGGGGAGAATGGAGAGATCGACGAAGATGACGAAGAAGTCTTCGCCATGATGGCGGGAGTCGCGGCAATAGAGAGCAGTGACCCAACGACGGTGAAAGAAGCCTGCAACAGAACGGATTGGCCTAAATGGGAAAACGCAATCAATAAAGAACTCACCTCTCTAGAAGATGCACGGACTTGGTCGATCGTCGAGAAGCCAGAAGGTGCGAATATAGTAGGGTGCAAATGGGTGTTCCGGATCAAGCGGAACGCGGACGGGGAAATCGACAAGTACAAAGCCCGGCTAGTGGCTAAAGGTTATTCCCAGGTATACGGCGTAGACTATTACGACACTTACGCACCAGTCGCACGCCTCGCATCTCTCCATACCATCCTCGCCATCGCCGCACGAAACGACTGGAATATCGACGTCTTCGACTTCCACAGTGCCTTCCTCAACGGTAAACTGGACGAGGACGAAATCATCTATATGGAGCTCCCACCTGGTTTAAACGTCGACAAGAAGTTCAAGCGCCCTGTTGCGCTGTTGCGCGTCGCGCTCTACGGGTCGAAGCAAGGAGCTTTGAAGTGGTATCAGGAGTTGTGTCGGCTGATGAAGAGCTTAGGGATGACGCGCGCAGAGTCGGACTGGGGGATATTCTTTAAGCACATAGGCACGGACATCCTCATTCTCGCGTCTCACGTTGACGATTGCACTATCACTGGCAGCAACTCCTCCCTCATCGCTCAGTTTAAGCAGCAGGTTGCTGCGCGCTTCAAACTCACAGACTTAGGTCCAGTCGCATCCCTGCTCGGCATGAAGGTGACGCGCGACCGTGTCGCGCGCACCATCTCATTCTCGCATGAGACCTACATCGAAGCCATACTCACCAAATACAACTTCATAGATTTGAAGCCGTGCTCCATTCCAATGGACCCCAACCTCCCACTTTCGCACTCGCAGTCTCCTACAACCCCTACCGAGTCCGCACGGATGAAGAACGTGCCCTATCGCGAAGCCGTCGGCTCACTCATGCACCTCGCTGTCGGTACTCGTCCTGACATCGCCTTCGCAGTATCCACCGTAGCCCAATTCGGGGCAAATCCTGGCATGCCCCACTGGGACGCTGTCAAAAAGATCTATCGCTACCTTATAGGTACAAAGACCCTCGCACTCACTTTTGGCGGCCGCAGACAAGGCCTGGAAGGCTTCACTGACGCTGACGGCGCGTCACAAGAACACAGACACGCCATATCTGGCTACGCATTCTTGTTGGATGGTGGGGCGGTCTCTTGGGCGTCGAAAAAGCAAGAGTTGGTGACTCTTTCCACGACGGAGGCAGAATACGTCGCGGCGATGCACGCTGCCAAAGAAGCTATCTGGCTTCGACGTTTCGTTAGTGAAGTCTTTCGCCCGCTTACCTGTCCTACCACCTTGCATTGCGACAACCAGTCCGCCATCGCGCTTGCTCAGTCCGGAGCGTTTCACGCTCGGACTAAGCACATTGATATACGATACCATTTTATACGTTTTTGCGTGGACAAAAGTTCTATTTCGATTGTTTATTGTCCTACGGATGACATGATTGCTGATACACTTACAAAAGCTCTCCCTAGTTTAAAGGTTAAACACTTTGCCTCCGCCCTCGGACTTCGCTCGGTTTGAGGGGGAGTGTTGGATTATCAAACCTTCGTCATGGACACTCAGTACCGGTAGCTTACCTCGTACCTATATATTCTCGCTCGTTCCCGCGCCTCGTACTACCCTCAGTTGACTTCGTACGTCGCTGAGGTTAGTACCATCTAGTATTAAGTATCTACTTAACTAACAACACATGTAGCTATCTGCTACAGGTATACCAATACGATTAGTTGACTTCGTACGTCGCTGAGCTATCTGCTACATTTACAACCTCCTTGAATAGCACAATCACGTCGCGGACTCGATCACTATAAGAAAATGACGCACGGGGCAAGAATCCAAGATTAATTGAGTGGTCTTATAGCATGGTGCCACGGTGGTAGGATGTAGTCATGGTAGGCTGTCAATTTGAAACGCAGTGCTGTTGTAACCGAGAAATCCTATGTGTGGAAAAGCGCCGCAGGACTATATACTCCAAGGACATCCGGAACTTCTGGCAGCCTAAAGGTCAAGTCAAGCTGTGGAAGTGAACCGGACAACGCGCCACACATGCACGTGTAGTACTCGTGACCAGTCTTCTAATGCACGTGGTGTTTGTACACATTTGGAAAGTCTACAGCCAACTTGCTCTTGGTCCTGTAGTCACATTTGCGAATGCGAAGGTATTTAAGTGCTGCAATACCAGTTTCATTCTTGTTCTTGTGCAACTTCGAGGATTTCTCCCCAAAGCCGAACCGTTTCGCAGATCGAATCACAATGGCCACCCCTCATACACCACGATCACAGAAGTCACAGGTACTACCGCCAGATACACCCCTAGGCCCTCGCCACACCTTACAATCTGATTATTTCACGGGGGATCTGGAGCTAGGTCGCGAGGCTGTTCTTACTGACTTGAGAAGGTATCTGCAAGTCCCGTTCGTATCCCTAGCGAAGTGTGTTGGTGCCGTGCCTTCTCAGCAGCTTCTGGAGGAGATGCGCGACAACTTAATTCGGAGCGACATTCTCACCGACGACGGCCTGAAATGGAAGGACTTTCGACCTGCGAAGATGTCCGAAGAGATGACGTTCAAGCTCGAGGCAATCATCTCTGGAATCTTGGAACAAGTCCCGAATTGTGGAGTATCCTACCTATCGAATCCGAATAAAATGCCCCTCTCAGAGCGCCTTAATACTTCCCTGCCGGATGGATACCTTGTGCGGGCGAACAATCGAACTTCACCCAGGATGCATTGGTTCGATATCGCTGTGCCATTCGAATTCAAGAAGAAACAGGATGCTAAAGCTCTCCGAGACGTAAGTTGTTGTCACAGATCTCTTCGGCGCCGGCTTATCAACTCTGCTCTAGAACGAACATAAGATAATCTGGAGCCTTCACAATATCATGCGCGAGGACCCCTGTCGTCGGTTTGCCTTCGGTATCACAATCGAGGACACGCAATTGAGACTGTGGCTCGGCAACCGCGGGTTCCTCGCAGTTACAGAGCCTATCAACTGCTTCGAGGTACGCCACCTTATCGCGCTGTATGTCAGGGTACTAACTGGTATAATACATCTAGGACATTGATGGCGTCATCTCTCTCTTTTATGCTCTTGGGTCTGCATCTACGTCTACCTCCTTGAAAGGGCTCGGATGGGACCCCACTGTTGAGCGGATCGATGTAGGAGAAAAAACGCAATACAAGTTCACAGTAGGCGACGAAGTGTTCACCACGACACGGGAACTGGCCACCTACGGCGCGGACTCTATGGTTGGGCGTGGAACTCGCGTGTACGAAGCCACAGACGCTAAAGGGAAGAAGGTTGCCATCAAAGATTCGTGGAGAGAAATTGACCGTCAATCTGAGGGCGAGATCGTAGAAAACATCTTAGCCTCCTGCGAGAAGAAGTTGGGAGCAGAGGATTTCGCCGATGCCAAGAGACACTTCATTGGAGTCCGGCTGTGGAAGGATGTCACAATCGACGGTGCCTCGGATGAGACGGTGAACCCGATGGCCGGAGGTGAGCATAACGACACCTGGAAGCGGGAACCCATCAATCCCAAGCCCATCCTCTTCGAAAGGACGCATTTATCTGCTACGGCCCCGGGTGACGTACCCGACAGTGGTAAACTTTCTGCACAATTAGGCATTGTTAGGGGAAAGGACTGCAGAATCCCACAGAGAGTCCACGCGCGCATCGTTTTTGATGATGTTGGAGTCGCTATCAAGGATGTGGTCTCTCTAGCCGACAACCTGAGTTGCTTGTCTGGCGCACTGAAGGGTAAAGTAACTTTCTTATTCTCCTTACCTCAATCGCTCACGCCACCCTTAGCCCTATCTTATTTGCATAAAGCAGGCTGGATCCACCGCGATTTCAGCGTCGGGAACGTGAGTTGGGTCGTCGGTGACAACGGGGGTATCGGCAAACTGGGTGACTTCGAGTACGCGAAAGAGATAGATACTTCTCACGACGACGTTCGAACGGTAAGAATTTCTGAAGATGATACCTCTCGCTGCTAACCCGCTGGCAGGGAACAATGCATTTCATGGCGATTGAAGTAGAACGTCAGCAGTACTTTTTCCGACCCCGAGGTCCCACTCCATCTGGGAGAACACTCCGTGCTGCAGACCTCCCGCCCCCCCCTCCATTCCGCATGAACTTCCTGCACGACATCGAATCTGTATGGTGGGCATATACGTGGATCTTCTTTTATCACACGGACACGATCAAGGCGAACGCCAGCGATTCCTTTGATGTGCATGCGCAATGGAGGCAATTCCAGCTGGCGTTCCCTGGTGCGATTTGCCAGGGATCACGCCAGAACTTCTTCACTCGCATCCAAAGACTTCAGAGCACCTGCAAATCTATCCTTTCAGATAGATGCTATAATGTTTGCAACAATATTCCTCAATTCGCACAGACTCTCCAAGACAGTTATGAGACGGCAGAGTCTAAATACCCCTTTCTTGCGCTTGATGACTCCCTTCGGGAAGATATGCATAGAAAAGCCGCAGGATATCTCGACGATGCGCAACAGAGTGCTGGTGATATCAAACTTTGTCCGCTCCCTAAGCTCCTCGAGCAGAAGAGGCCCCGAGAGGAAGGTGAAACGTCAGATAATGCAGGGAAGAGGATCCGACACGGTTGATTTTTTTATTGATTGTATGATAAAGACGAGAAGATGCTAGCCGAGTATCTCACAGCTGTTGTGCTTGCCAATAATGAAGCGCTCAACTTCCGTTCAATAGTCGTTATCTGATCTTCAAATTCTGATTTGAACCCTCCCTCAAAACTCAGTCAATTCTCAAATGATGGCCGTCGTTGCTGGCGCAGCATAAATCTGAAATCGATAAAGATAGGTGACTAGCATAACCAAGAACTCACCGGTTCACTGATGGACACTAGTACAGTAGCATTCAGATCCCCAGATTTCAGTCTCGAGTACAACGTCGATTCAGATGGGATAGAGATGGAGTCCCGACTCTAGAATACTGGTCGTGTCACAGAGCAGGACGGCACATAGTCCGATCTGCGAAGAAAATAGTTGTGCGACACTTCTGAAATGGAGCACACGTGCCACCCAACTTTTACTTTCAATTTCTAGAGTACTTGGCTCTACCAGGTGAGATTGCCGATGGACCTATCACTTCCCTCGCTGTACTCATCAGTACAAGACATGAGAACGATACGTTTAGTGGATAATCGTTCCGTTTGTGAATTGTCTGAAGTTCCAATAGAGTCCTACTAGCAATGAAGAAACGTCGCAAAACAATACAACTGCACAGCATATGGTTGCTATGAGATAGAATGCGACATTAGATTCCTCGCCCGCCTGTCACCTCCAGCGTATGGCCAGACACGTACGACGCAAGCGGTGAAGCAAGGCTGAACAGACCATCAGTTAGCTAGGGTACCAAGATAGAGACTGAAACGCACAAAAGCATGCCTGCGGCTGCCTCGTCCGCAGTGGCACCTCTCTGCAGAGGAATATCCACGAAAGCACTAACGTTCTGAGAAATAGCGCGCTGCCTTGCTCCGGGAATGCCCAGTGCAACCTTCTGGCCGTCAATCTCAATGGTTGCACCGTCCTCTTTTGCTGCGGTCAACCTGCATATTGTCAGGTGCAATCTAGTGTGAAAGTTCGACATGTCATACCGAGTGTGCACGAGGCCAAATGCAATGGTATTCGCACGAACACCAAATGGTCCCCACTCCTTTGCAATAGTCTTGGTGAGACCTACAACCGCAGATTTTGCAGCAGCGTAATTTGCTTGGCCAACATTTCCATGCAAACCAGACGTCGAAGAAACGTTAATGATAGAACGGTTTTCAGGCGTATTGCTCTAGGAGCTTGTCGTGACACGGGAATAACTAGATTAAGTGCACTTTGAACGAACCTTGACTCGGAAATAAGGTGCAGCAGCACGAATAAGGCGGAAGGGTGCGCGGACGTGGATTTTCATGATAACGTCGTATGTCTCGTCTGGCATGGTGTGAATCATCTTGTCGTGTGTGAAACCAGCTATACAACATGTCAGAACAGAAGGCACTTGATAACAACCTCGAAAGCGCTGACCGTTGTTCACGATGTGGTTAATCTTGCCATACTGCCTAGAATGCAGTCAGAAACGAGGCCACCTACTCGTATGGCGAAACGGCACTGACTTTACAGTTGCGTCCACGATTGTCTGTGGGAAGTCGTCTGCTCCAACATCTCCTGCGACGTATATTGCGTCGCCACCTGCCGCCTTGATCTCGTTCACTACGTCCGCAGCCTTCTTGGCGTCAATACTAAGCAGAACAACCGGTTAGAGTTTGTAGGTTTGGAACGCATTCGGAACTCACTCGCTGACTACAACCTTGGCGCCTTCCTTTGCGAACAGCAGCGCTGCGCTGCGCCCGATACCCTATGAATTTACATATTCATTAATATTGTCTCCCTCTCAATCAGAAAGTTCCTTGCCTGTCCGCTACCTAACCATGGCAACATTAGAACAGTGACTAGCATGACAAGCACCGTGTGCCAACACAAACTCACCAGTAATGATAGCTACCTCTCCAGAGAGAAGCCCGCGTCCATGTGCATTGCTGAGGTGACCGGACACCTGTGCGAGACGGCCTGCCATAAGTATATATTCGTCGGTGAGTGTGCTATGTCAACAATTGTTACAAGTCGCGAACTGACTCATTCGAGCTTCTTATCAGAATCCGGCTCGGCTATAGTCATTCCCGAAGCCAATAACTCGTGAAATCCGCGTGTGCATAATGCACTAACGTTTATTCACGTTCGCGAGAGTTTGGAGCCCGAGCTCATCACCGACGTTGTGATGTTTTGGAATCGTATTTCACATGTCCTGTGATTGCTGGAACACACTCTATAGTCTAAATTATCGTCAGCAACTTGAAGATTAGTATGACCCTTCCGTCATCATGATGACGTAATCACTGGAAGATGCGAGGTCAGCGCTTCAACGAGCCAGCTGATCGCTCCAAATCACAATCTACGTCGACGTCAAGGTTCCAAGTTACAACTGCGTTACTGTATAGAGCCGCGTAAATCAGTAGCATAACAATACACATCCACCGTAGTAAACGACCTGCACAACACTTCTCAAGCTAAATATATGCTATAATATGCGTATATCATGCGTGCGCAATTATACAACATCATACACGCGTCAAACCATGGGTTTGGATACCTTGCACTGATATCAACAATATCATGACTGATCCGAGTCCCCCTGTCGTCTCCGTTTAGACGGGCGTTGCTGAGAAATCGCGGATGCAGACACAGAAGTCTTGGCTGAACTAGGATTGACCGCTCCTCTTTGCGCGTGTCTCGCAGCTCTTGCAGAAGATCCATTGACAAGACCAATAAAGAGGGCGTCTGCATCGGCCTCAGCATCCCATATGCCATCCATCTCCACATTAGCAAGTCTGCCAAGATGACGCTCTGCCTTTAACAACAAAGCCTCTCGTTCCTCCTCTGTCTCAGCATCTGCGCGCAGGGCTCTCAGAGTTCGTGCGATATACTGACAGGCAGTGTACTTTCGCATGCTATTTTCATGTTCTGAGGCTGGCGTTGCGCGAGGAGTAGGGAGATGAATGACTTCGTCAAGTTCCTCGCGGATGTCCTCGAGTTGCTCGTCCCGTCGTTTGAGGTTACGTTGGAGCCTTGCAACCTCCTTCTCCTGTGCTTCCAGGGCAGACCTTAGTCGTGCGATCTCCTCTTCAGCGCGATCCAATTCGCTTGCGAAAACAACCGGAATCTCGTCGAATTCCTCATCGATTCCAGCATCGATTCCAGCAAGTGTAAGAACTGTGGGTGCTGGATTACCATTTGGAAACACCGGTGGTTGGAGCTGAACCTCTCTGACGGATGGGTTATTCATATCAGGTGATGACAGGCGCTCTGCTACAGAAGAGGGTGGTGAACTAAGAATGCTGAGCGCCCGTCCGTCAGGTGACACATCCTGAAAGGTGACATGGGAGTCTTGGGAATGATGAACGGGAGTTCCAGGTGTTGAATCGGGCTCCGCCAGGTGGGTTCTTTTTTCATGTACACCCCGGCCGGTAAAAGATCGAAGTTTGACTGTTAAGCCAGTAGGAGCGGTCTGGGGTAGTTGCGGTGTATTTTGAACGGTGGAAGAATAGGCCGGAGAAAGAGGTTCGAGATTAGGGGCAGGGGCAGAAACAATGTGCGAGGGAGCCGGTTCTTGATCATTCTTGGCTCGCGCACCTCTAGGTGCGGACTTGAGTGAAATACGACGAAGGTTTTTTTCGCTGGTACTCCTCCACAGTTTGCCACAAACCGGCAGTTTCGAAGAAGAGGCGTCCGCCTGCTGCACGAGCCCTTTGACCTGTTCAACCGTCAGCTGAAGCACTTCAGCCGACTTTTCAATTTGGAACTGGCGTTTTAGTGGACACGGTTTGGCCCTTGAACGTGCACATGGCATACAACGCAATGAACCCTGTTGCGGTGAAGGGTAGCACTTGCGTGATTGTGACACGCACGCTGCACACTGCACAATAAGAAAATTCATGAGCTGTGAGCCGAGGACACAAGTTCTTAGGAGAGCATACCGCAGGCTGTTTTTCGACCCATTCCACGATGACATGCACCGGCCATATCATTTGCCATGCCTCGTGAAGTTTTGCCATCAACTCCGGGTTATCCGTGACTGTGTCTGTCTTATCCTCTAATAGTTCATCAACTTCCCGTTCCTCATCTACTCCCGCTACATCCGCGTTTTCATTTTCATGATGATACCTACTACTTCGTGTCGCAGTTTTGGGCATGAGAAAAATGTCTGATAGTGATCAGTGTCAATGTGGAATATGTGCAAGGGAAGGTTTTTGTCACGTGTACATTTTTGGTTGCATCTCGGATTCTCGGTTAACTCTGTACCGGGCCAATGATTTACCAAGTTCTCAATTTACTAGTCTTTGGTTGACGCCATAGCGTTTATGCAATGAGGGTATTTGAGAAAGCAAATATATTTTGGGACGGGACTACAAAGTGCAGAGTGCGAGAACTAAGAGAATGGCGCTATTTGTCCCCGATCGAAAGAGAGGAAGTGAGCTGCGAAGGTGGGCGGCTAGCAAATTCGGATGAATTCTGAATGGGAGATTGTGCTGATAGAGCCCACAGGAGTGGTTTGGCACATTAATGCGAAGCACCGTCATGAAACATGGTAGAGTGGTAGTGAACTGGGAGCGGGTGGGGATAAGGAGCTAGACGACAGACACGTCGAAGGTCTTACTAGCGCTCGGAGGAGCGGGAACAAGAAACACCGGCTTCTTCCGCTCGTTCAAAGACCGATAACTATTGCAAGACCGTCCTACAATATTACATAATCCAGCCTCTCTCGGCACTCAAGCAGTGACGGCGACTGGAAAGACTTTCATTATGTAATTCCATAGTAGCTGGCTCTGGCACGCATATTGCCCTACACACTCCGAGTCATCCTGGCAGGCGCTCAGGCTCACTACTCTTATCTTTCAACGGACAGCGCGCAGTGAGGTCATGCCGCATCATCTCGTATAATGCATATCCGGTGTTGTCGGACACGAATATGTACTCTCTTGGAACAGGCCACAGATTAGTACCATGGACAATTTTACGACGTCTGCATGCACAACCCCCGGGCCATAGCCGCATACTCAGGCTACTACTACTACTAGTAAAGCGCAATGGCCGCCATGGGGCTTCATATCGGCAAGCTAAGCCAAGCCATCAAGAAGCGTGTATTCTCCCGGGCCAAGGAAGTCAATTACATCACACTCGAAGGGATTGATGAGTCTCCCTAGGTGCTTTACGTTGATTACGGTGGTTATACGTGGCTACGTTCCAATATAACGAAAACCTTTCTATATGCGATCATATATTGTCATCATATCATGATATCTGCGACTCACTAGTCCTCTGATGCTCTGACAGTCACTCACATGGCAGATCGGTTCTACTAGTCTTAAAAAAGATGTCGATACGTTCAGTAAGCATCTATTTTCTTTACTATATCGATGAATATTATAAGGTTAACATCAAAAGAATCCTTCGGCTCCAGCAGCTCGCAGCCTGTCTTGGTCTTGCGACAGCGGTCCTATTGCAAAGGCCCCGAATGGTTGGTATGCATTTACATAAAAGATATCGGAACAACATAACGGCGTCAGATAGTAGTCGGTGCAGAATTCTGGAATGTCCGCGGCACACGGCCGATAGCATAAAGGGCGCAATCTAGACTCCTGGTATAAGTCAAAGCCTACATCCATCTGCACATTATCATAGTGATTTCGCTGTACCATGTTCATCCCCAAGATTCCTACCAAGGATTCGCCTGATTCTTTTGAATTTTGGTGGAAAATGGCCACCAGCGCAATTCTGGTTCTTGCGGGGGGCGTCTTCGCTGGGTGGGTCGCACATTTCGGAGTCCAGCAGATGTTGATATCTCAACAGATTATCAATTGGTCTTATGGGGCTTGATGAACTTCATCTTCGTGTGTTGGCCACCTCGTCAGAAGAAAAGACGGAACGGACCAATGCACAAATTGGTGCGTGCAGTATCTGACAGGTGTCACCCAACTTTCAGTCGACGATGGTTAGTGTTGAATCTCATGCAAAGGGGCCGCCACTGGGTGCTGGTGGTAAGTCTTTACTTGCTCTTTATCCTTCTCATTCTCAAGCTCGTTCAAGGTGCTTCTTCTCAGTAACGTGGTTCGTATCATTGAATATACATATGGTTTCGTCTTGCATAATGAAGGGTCACGTTTTAGATTATCAACGAGAGTTTGCCAATCTTTCTTGACAGCGCGGTGAGCACATGCTCGGCATATATCCCCTTCTGGCTCAGAGCAACATAACCTTATCGACACTCAGATTGGAGGAGGTTTACTTGCTATAGTAATTTCAGCGACTGCCATTGGTGAGTAGCGAAATCCACGCATCAGGTTCAACAATTGATCGGACCGACTTCAGTTATATTTGGGTACGCATGACATTTGTTTTGAGCATCACGAAACATGATGGTTGATGAAATCTTACTTGTTTGACGGACAGAGAGTAAGTACAATGTGTCGTGCGCTATGGAGTTATTTTTGACCTACTTAACAAAAGGGTTATACCTCAAGCAGTTTGCGCGAGACACGGTCTCGCCATTGGCGCACGATTTGCGCCATTTGTTCTCCTTCTAATGTACCTCTTTGGTGTGTACGCAGTTTTGACTCCCAGGAGTTTGTAAGTAACCTCTACCCGGCACAGCACCCATCGCATATCCAGTCGCAAAAATTCTCGACCGTGCCTTAGGGGTTCACGATACGCACACCTACAAGAAAGCTGAACTGAAATCTTTTCTTCAATTCCACCGTACTGGCAAAGAGCCTTTGCGTGATGACGAGATTGGCATTCTCAATGGCGTCCTGGAGCTCAGCAGTAAGAACGTGGAGATGATTATGACTCCCATTTGTGTCAGTATCTCTGATATTTCCTTTTGGTGGGCTCAACACTTACGGCGGGTGTTCATCATTGCAGGATGTTGTCATGTTGAGCTCGGATACAATTCTAGACCACGCCACTATTGACGCTATGTATTCGAACAACTGCCTTTGTCTTCGCAGGAGCGCACTCACACCTCTTTAGCCTCACTAGCGGCTATTCTCGGTTTCCCGTGCACAAGCCAGGGAATCCGCTCGCATTTGAGGGTCTTCTTTTGATCAAGAAGGTGCATCTGAAGCCGCACTTTGTTTGAATAGCTTGTTGACAGTTGCGTGACAGTTACTGATGTACGACCCCGCACGAGCACTCCCAGTCTCACACTTTCCTTTGTCCATCTTACCTGAGGCCCTGCCATCAATCAACTGTTTCCAAGCACTCGACTATTTGTACGCCCTCACTTCATGCTTCTATTTATGCAAGCCAGGCGATAATAGAAACATTTTTTTAGCCAGACAGGGCGTGCGCATTTATTATTGATCAGTCGGACACCTGGTTCACATGGCGGCGCAATTGGTCTGATTACTCTAGAAGGTAAGACCAATCATGTGCATGTGCACTTGTCACTGCCTAACAGCTATTGTTTCTGGGTCTAGATGTTATCGAGGTATGATGTTTATTTAGCTTTCCTAGGTATATGACATGACATCTCTCCCAGGAAATTATTTCAGAGGAAATTGTCGATGAAACTGATCAGTACGAGGACAACCAAAGTAAACGGTATGCTGAGCGTATGATCAATGATACTGTCATGAGAGAGTGCGTCTGTATCTCACTATTTGGGCTCGATCATAATTCCCTTCTTCTATCTAGCATTGTTGAACGGGAGAGAAGCATATTCACGCGTACATCCACTATTGAACCTACGCAGGTGACTTCTGTAAATATTGAGACCGTGCCCCTCCTTTCTGGGTCAAGCCAGGGCGAGTATCCTCAGGCGTATCGTTATGTTTATGGTTCAATTGACGAATCATAACACGAGAATAATCGGTCTTCAAGATGACATGTATTACATTTATGTTAAAAGGCGACGTTTTCTGGGAATCGTCTTGTATTCTAACGTTTGAGTGCTCGTCAATCAAATTTGGCTTTCTTTTCTTGGAGACCTGATTACTATTGAACTCGACTGAAATGTGTCTGCGTAACTCGCTTCGTCGGGAATTCTGAGAGATCAGTGTACGTCGTAGAAGGACACTAAGTGTTGCATTGTTGACACTTGTTAGGATCACACAATGTCGGGTCCATCTACATCGCAAGTCAGCTCAAGGTTTATCAATTCCAATCAGGCTAGGTTCAATGGACTCATCCGAACATCCCTGAGTCCCAAAGTTAGTGAGGAGGGCTAGCGCTCTTGTGGAACATGATCGGTTGCCCACCTCCCAAAACTCTGCCGGCTACACCGGTGCCCAGCGCTCGGGCCTTTTGTCATCAACACCCTAAGCTAGATCTGAGACGGCGTCAAAAGTCCCAAAAGGAAAGAACCGAATAGATTCTACTGGGGTGCATCGAAAAACAAGGTCCGCTAGTCTCATCACATCATCCCCATGGAGGATGTCCTCATCGAACTCTTCGAAATCCTCCTATCCTCCAATCATACTACATTCCTTGGTTCTTGGCATCGGTCTTCTCGGCGCGGCATGTGGACGTTACGATGCGTGTACCGTCATAACCTACTCCTGTGTTCCAGGTTATGGTTCCAGCAACACGATCAATGTTTCACTTACTTCGAGACCTTTGATCGAGGCCAACAAGGTACGTACAAGGCCTTGATAAGTCTCTTTCTGGCACGTGGAACTTGGCATGACCTGTCAGTCGAGTGGAACATCATATCAACCTGATAGCGATTGTCCTTTATGAGGATGTTCAGGTGACCTTTACAGTCATGCACCCGAATGCATCGCGCCCTCGCAATCACCGAGTTACTCACGCACATTCTCCGTGATGTGTACAATGATGACGAGGGACTCAATCTCCGCCGAGGCGTCAAGGACATGGCTAGGATTTCTCAGGTCTGCAGGACTTTCCGAGATCCTGCATTGGATTTCCTTTGGAAAAATCTCGACAGCCTGCTCCCGCTTCTTCGGCTGCTTCCTCTTGAAATTAACGAAGAATACGGTGATAAAGCTCGACTTTCAAAGGTCGTCTCATCAGCCCATTACTAGCCACCTTCAGTTTACTGATTTTGCCGCAGGTTCTTGGGGACCTGAAGTCGCCAGAGCGCCAGTGTTATATCTCAATATCCAACCGCGTGCGCACACTATCCTTTTCGGAACCACACGAGCCTATCCCTCGCAATCTAATAAATGATATTATTGAGTACAATCTCCTCTTAACTCCCCGCATAGATGTCCTCCACTTTCACATATTATCCGAGGCTGGCCTTCGTCTTCTCCCCGCCCTTATCACACCCGAATTGACCGACATCTCCCTATCTTTCGATGAAAATTTATATGTTTTCAATCGTCCGCTAGACCTTGGCGATCTCATCAAGTCGGTATACACGACTATTTTTCGGTGTGCGCCCAAGCTTGTACATTTCTCTGTAGTCGATTTGTACGAAGCACTGCCGTTGTTGTCACTTACTAAGGCCCCGGGTCAAGATCATATGGATATGGCATGTCTCCAAAGCCTGACACATGCAGCATTCTACATAACTGCCGCTTCCTTACCGCAAGTTCTCGATTTAATGTCACAGCTTCGCAAGCTGGAGGACCTGACCATTCAGGCTTGCGAGAAACCTTTCGAAGAAATTCCCCGCCTCTCCTTCACGTCAGAGACATTCGGCTCGCTGAAGAACGTCGCGTTTGATGGCTCTCCTGATATCATCAGCCGCATATTCTCCGCATTCCCAGCCAATCGCGCCTTCCAATCCGTGATTCTACGAATGCACGGTCTTTACACCAATGCCGATATCGCACTGGTACTCTCGGGGGTTGTTGCAGCTGTGTCCAAAGAGTCATTGCAGAAGATTATAATAACTTCCGTGCTCTCAAAAAGTGACCTCGCACGTTGGGATGCTGATTCGGGAATCGACAATCGCCAATTCATACTAGACATACACGCCATCGAGCCCGCTGTAGGACACGAGCTGGCGCTGGGCTCGTATCGAGCTATTTCACAGTACACGCCAAATACCTGTCACATGCTAATCACTTCCCGATGTTATCCGACGCTAACCCGCCAAACCGACGTTTAGGCCGCATCGGACCCGATGTTTTCCCGCGCACTTGTCCTATCCGTGTCCCGTCCTGTCTTGCTAGCCCCACTAGGTGTGTAGTTCATTATTTCGCACATTACTCACGTCGTAGCCAGCGCTATTACATGTTTTCCCATAGTCCGCAGCGCCTCATGTTTATTTACATGTACTTCGGATCCGAAATACTCCGCCGCTACTTTCGCCTATGGGTTCCGCATTTCTACGTACTTACATATATATTGGACTGACCTCGAGCATTATTCATTATCCAAGTAGAGGGGAGCAGTTCCCCGACGCTTAGTGGTCAAACCCGATATTTCGTAGTTCTTAGTTGATATTGCGAATATCATCGCTCTTTCATTATCCATATCAGTCATTGTTATTATCGCGCACACCGCTCGCTCTTCCGACGCTCGCTATAGCGTTACTATTAGTTTCCAACATCCCGAACCCGAACCCGATATCCCGAAACCCCGAAAACATCGGACCCGACGCTTTTGCGTCGGACATCGTAATTATACCTTTGGACATTGTTTCCCGCGCTCGGACTATTGACCCCACATCACTCACTTACCCCCAAGACTATTCCCAGACCGCAGACCCCTGGGTCGAACGCACTTGTCAGGCAAGTATAGCAGAATAGGCAGTGCAAAGACCACAACACAAATATATCAGTTAGGAGCAATCTTTGTTTTGTTCCTCTCAGTATTGTTGTTTCTACACCGCCCTGCAGTTCCGGAATCTTGAGATCTTTTCGGCTTGTCTCGGTGTCCCACTTTATCTCACAGACGAAGACCATCTGCGCATCGCGCAGACATGGCGCTCTGTGCAGTTACTATACCTGTCTTCGATCGTCCAGCGTGTTGTCTTGGCACACAAGCCTCCGGCTAGTATTGCGTCTCTGGTGCACTATGCACGATATTGTCGCCGCTTGAAAGCGCTTGGGTTGTGCCTCGATGCATCTACGAAAGCCAGTGTCGATGCATGTATGCAGGCCATGGACACCTGCGAGGAGAACGTTCCAGAAGAAAACCATGGCCTCCCATCTCACTCAATTCGGATGGTCGAGTTTGGTCCTTCGTGGCTGGAGTGTAACTTCGACCCTGGGCACATCAACTCTCTAGCCAAGGCGTTCACGAGGCTTTTTTCCAACTTAGCTGCATGTCGTGCGTGCCGGACGGAGGAGCTTGGGGTGCCACAGGCTGCATGGACTTGGATGAAGGTGCAGACATTGTACGAATACATCCTCTTTAGGGATCAAGGTTGCAACGTAAATACCCCACGGAGCGCGTGGAAGTTGAGACTGTTTTCCAAGGTGTGTCGCGTGTGGTTTTCGCTGCTAGATATTCAATTTGATTGTACGTCTAGTGGACCTCGGACTATGGAAAAGATTACGAGAAGGTTGCCCTGGCGTCCCCTGGTTCATCCGTAGAAGTTGACTTTGATGAGTACGTCCTCTGTTGATCTATGGGTGCTCGATCTCACACGCCGACCTTTGGTGTTACAGTGATCAGAATGCGGAAGCGTTCAATCAGATCATGTACAAGACAGCAAGGGACGAACTCGCGAAGATATCCAAAGAACACGAGGTTATGTGAACAAAACCTGTAGAGTGCAGGGTGCCATGTCTGTCGCTAATGTAGCTTTCATCCACCCATGACGACCAAAGTGCGGTGGCCATTACATGGGGATCCACGCCTGGTGATCACTGGATTAGTTATTTCCATTGATTTGGGCATAGAATGGGAGTTTAATTTTTATCTCATCGATGCATTCCACACGCATACGTTATAATAACAATCAAGGGAAGGCTGCCATTTTGAAGATCACTCAGACATTGTCGCCGTCCTTAAGAACCTCACAATGTTCGGCATAGCTTTGGCTTGGTGGGCTATATTTGACCTAGTATCTCGAGTCGTTTGGTGGTCACATAATCGACCCCGACGATAGCAAGGCGGTTCATCGATCAGGTTGTCGTAGAAACCAGACACGACCTCCTGTGCTACCTCATCGTCGACAGACCACATTGAACCAATCACACTGCGAAATCCAGAGAATTGCATTGCGGCAGCGAGGTGGATCGATTCGTCGGGACTCTTCTCATCACCCACGGTAGTGTGGCAAGCCGATAGAAATGCAAACTGCGGCTCCTGCCAGTTGGATCGGATGATGTCCTTGATCATCAACGGCCCATCGCGCATTGCGAAGGAAGATTCAAATGGTCGTCGTCGACTAGGCATTCCATGGCAGGCCAGGTGAAGCCACTGGTTACGGTTCAGGGCATCAAATGCACCCTTGACCGTTGCATCGCTGTCCTCGAGCCGCATGAAGGACGACACGACGGGCGCGAGACGCTTGGCGACAAAGGCTACCTCGGGAGCTACACATTCAAGTGGTTTCCCTCCATCGGGGTTTCCTTGACCAATGGCAACAGAATGTTGCGGGGACGCATCTCGTGAAACCTGCCGTCTCGCACGGACAAGCGTGGCCAAAGTGGGAGTGTACGAGGAGATGTAGATGTGAGACAAACTGTCTCTCTTCTTCTCATAAGCTCCTGCTGCATGTAGAGGGAGCAGCGCGAACTCAGCAGTGGGACACCACCAGATACGCGAACCAGGGCGAACATTTGACACCCTGAAGGCTTGTACTACGGGACCAACGATGTGATGCCAAAGTTTACGAAGGATGCTGACAAGCTCGAGTTGAGTATCAGAAGAACCAAGTTCTTTTGTATTTTAGACACTAAAAAGAATGTCTTAAATATCCTTTACGCCATAGGACACTTGCGCCAAAATACCAGCCCTCAGCACGACAATATGCAACCAACTCAAAGGAACATGATAAGTTGCGACGCTTTTGCGATTCACGACAAAGTCACGATGACGGACGCATAGGGGACTCTAGGGACCGCTTCTTCCGAGTTGGTTCAACTTGCGGAGAGTATAAATCGGCAAGAATTCACTTCGAGACTCTCACCTAGTAATAAGTATTTGCATGTGCGGAATTCAAGCACTTCATCATCTCCTATATCTTACAAATTCGAACAAGGCATTCGTGAAAAAATCCAGCTTAAGATCCCTGCAAATCTTCCGGTCTGTTTAGCAACCTCCCCTCCATTCCACCTTCAACCATCACTACTTGACCAGTGACATGACCGGAGAGAGTGGATGATGCAAGGACTACGACCTGCATCGCGACGTCGATCGGCATGGCCACCTTCTTAAGCGGAGTCCTGCGGTGACACGAAATTCAACGTGGATCACGAATCATGATGGTGTCACTAACGTAGACAATACACGATACACCGTTTGAGGATCCTTCAAGGCCTCTTCAGCCATGGGTGTCCTGACCCAGCCAGGCGCAATACAGTTGACCCTGCCTTTTGGGGCTATCTTCACGATTTCATTCTTGAGAGTAAGGTTCAAACCATACATCATTGCTAGAACACGATGAGTCCATGTCAAATTGCAGACAGAATCGTTACTGACCGCTCTTTGTTGCAGAATAGTCTCCGTGATTGGCTTCGCCATACTTTCCGGCAGTACTTCCGATAAGCACGATCGCTGCCTTTTCCTTGATAGTGGAGGATGCACTTCCAAGGTGCTTCAGATACTCTCTACACACCAGAAATGATGACGTCAAGTTCGTAGTCATGGTGGTATTCCATTGGTCCAGCGTCATCTTTGCGATTGGGACATCTGCAGTGGGATATATAGCGTGGTTGACGATCACCACTTGTACGGGGCCATGAGGCATAGTAGATAGCGACTCGAACATAGCCACCACGGCATCCTCTTGAGACAGATTCGCCTGGACATGTTGAAGATTGGCATTCAATGCCAGAAGCTCCTGGATTGGACCAAATTGGGAGTTGTAATGTGCGGTTACGTTCGCCCCCAATGCTGGATGTCCGAGTCTGTTTCAATTCAGTAGTCGTCACTCGAGAGTAAATTGCTTACCACAAAACAATTTCACAGTCTCTAGCCCGATGCCACCACTTGCCCCTGCTCGAGTGCTGTCAGGTGAGTAGTGCGATAGGATACCGTAGAATACGACCTGTAACAACGACATGCACTCCTTGCAATCCATGATCCATGATGTGCTATATTATCAGTGTGATGTTACTTGGATAACCAGACGATTAACAGGCGATAACGGCCTCAGTAGTGTCGAGGTGTGAAAAATTCAATGCTACTACTCATGTAGCTGGTACCATTAGACAGGTGACCCATCGATTATGAATAGCTTCGAGCGTGTGTTATATGGGCGCTTCAATTGTAGTTCGAACGTTCAAGCTCAAGTAGCGGCAGACTGTAACGGTCACTCAGTTGACACCGGCATCTTCTCACCCACCTCGATTGAAACTCAGCCGCATCAGAATTCTATCAGGACGCTGACTGGCCTCGATGATCCTTGCTTAAGCTTGCTTGTTACTTCTCTTGGTTAACGGACAGCAGTCACTCTGTGCATGGATATGTGTACAGTACATTAGTGGTTAGTCTTGACTGGTTTTCAGTGATCACCATCCTGACACGTGCACTTTCAGTATGTACTGCAATGCGACGTAAATCAGCGCTACACAGGATCCATGTGAATGCTGTGGTGCACGAATGCTCTTCTATCACGAAGCCACATGCACCAGAAGCTATGGTCTTAAGTGAAATATATTTAATCTGCGTGTCTATAATGCGCCGGCCTTCCTGTCTCTGCCTCCCATAATGATGGCAGCTTCTTCCAAACCGACAGAAGAAAATTGGAATCCATCCAGCCTTCTTGTATATAACGCACTCCCGGGTCACCAAGACTTTGACTCGACAATATCTGATATGAAGTCCACTGCTGATGCTAGAACCGATTTCTACGATCGCAGTCTGACGAGTCGCAGATATGCTCTTGTCGGGCTGGCATGTTCAAGTATCTTCAGCTGCTTATGCATTATTACAGGGATTGTCACTGTAGCCAATCACGGAACCTCGGGAGTAACCCCGCTCAACATATTCGAGTATCATGATGTGATGGCCATAGGTCTGGGGCTCATTCAAGTACTACCGCTGCGGGGGGAGATATTGACCCTGATACTTGACTTATTTGTCACGTTATGTACCGAGTCCATAGGCTTCGTACACGGCATCTCATTGCGCTCTGCGCTAGCCTCAGAGTCTCGGCTTCGTTTCAACACCAATCTGCGCCTTCTGACCGCAGCCCGTGGATGGTATAACCCTAATGGCGTCTTCCTTAACGGTATCTCGGCTGTCCTCCTCATTATAAGTATCGCAGGGTTTCCTCTCCTCATTTTGGGCGTCGCACTACTCCTCCAGGTGATGATCGCATTGTCAGCGATGCGGGCTGTAAAAATCTTGACGTGGAGTTCTTCACCTTTCGAGTTGACTGCTGCACTCGTCCACCACACGCAATTGACCCCTGCTACTTTCCGGTGCATGCGTCGTGTGTCTGACCTAGACATGTATGGTGGTCCAGCGAAGCCACCAGAGACACAGCCATCTGCGTGGCATGCTCACCCTAGCATCCGTAAAGTTGTCATTTCTCTTTGGGTGATCGTTGCAGCGTGCGCTGGATGGGCTGTACTCGTCATGTATTTCTGGGACCACTTCCACCTCGCTCAAGTTGTTCCCACCTCTCCGCTTACACTCCAAACGTGGTCGTTTCTCCGGAATTTTATGGACAATTACGTCATATATGATCTGCCAGGTGACAATCTTGCGGCGTGGATTGTGGTCTTTGTCTTCACTGCAGTAGTCCAGGGACCATTAACGCTTGGGCTGCATTGCTCAGAGCTAATCGTGAATGGCATTCGAGACGAAAGACAGTGGAGATGCGCTACCAAAAAGAAAGGACTCAGTGTGGCGACGAACCCGCTGAAGCCGATTTTCATTCATCCGATGTGTCTCATACTTTTCATCGCGAAGCCTTTCCTGCGTGAGTCATTCACGCCTAGTATTTTGTCGTCAGCGTTATTGAACACAATCCTCTATGATCACAGACTGGATGTTTGGGCTCTCATTCTCCTTAGCGTTGCCAGCCTTTGACGAGAATATGGACGCTCTGGTGATGTCTATGTTCACTGCCCAGGTTTGTACTTACTGCCCATGTAAAATTGCTACAAAATTCTCACACGTTCTCGGAGATCTGGAACTTATGCATTGCGCTCTTTATATTTTCCTGTTTATTCACCTTCATCGCACTACGCCGACCGCACGGTCCCCAGCCAGCTGCATATGGCCACCTCCAGACGCTCGCCAACCTCGTGGATGAGTGGTCCCCTGTGATGTGGTGGGGACACAAGGAGGATGGAATTCCGTACTGCCATGCTGGTAGGGTACTTGCATACTCACAGTGATACTGTATTGACACTTTTGAAAAGGGACAAGCGGTCACCCGCTGCCGGACGTGAAGATGGACTGCGTTTATGCTGGTTCCGTTGCTGGGTCTCTGGTACCCCTCTCGTGAGAGGTACTCGGCTTACTTTTTAAAGGGAGTGTTCTGATTTCTCTTTTTTAAATAGAGAAGTATATCCATGTCAGGCTAGCGATGCATTCACGGTGCACACAATCAGCCATGCCATTGAACGAGACATACAATCTTCATGCTATCTACTGCATTCCAGTTGGTTCTTCTTATACCATTCATACGAGTCTGGGACAACTTTTAGCGGAAACGCTTTCGAATGGACCTTCAAGCAACTGTAATTTTGGTGGATTATAACTTGTAGCTGATGGACACTTTTCCTCGCGACGTCTCTGCGCCGGACCTTACCACATCATCATACGATGAAACCGTTCCTTGCGATTCAATGCCAAGTTTTCACTCGATCCAGAGCGTGCTACACCATTCAACTGCGTGGGGAGCATCAAAGTGTACCTTCTCTCTGACACTGCCCAGGCAAGGATGCCGAGTGAATTCAGTGACCATGTCGACAACAATCAGTGATTCAACCACTGATGTCCATTGTCTTTTCGGGGGATTCAGTGGCCCAAGTTGATTCATTGTGCTACCTCATTGGTTTCAGTGGCTCTCTCTATTGACTTTCAATGTTTTCTCCTACTTAAATTCATGGGCTTTCCTTTCCACAGAAAACGCATGCATTGAAAATATGCGAAGACATCACTTAGGCTGAATGGAAGCTGTACTGAACTTGATGTTGATCACATAACGTGCTTAAATCACCTTTAAGAGGCTTAACCGGAACCAACAATATTTGCATTATCAGCCTCATCCAGTACTGCTCCATTGTCTTAGACTGCGCATACGGAAACCATGTAACATCTATTTCAGACACTAAAAAGAATGTCTTAATATCCTTTACGCCGTAGGACACATGTGCCAAAATATCAGCGCTCAGCACGAAAATAATACCATATCCCAAAGCTCATATATACATACGTGATACGTCACTACTTCACGCCCAAGATCCTACAACCCCTCTCCATACTTGGCCATAACGGCCCTCAACGATGCCTCGTCTCCAAACCGTGGCTCGAAGCGCGCAGCGAAGCGTTTTGGGTGCGCAATCACGCCATCCACAAAGCCCGATTGGTCAATAGGGTTCTTTGGGTCCTCCGTGATCTTGAACGACCACAAGAGGAGCGCGAGGTTGACGAAGATCGAGCGATTCGCGATGTGTCGCCCGGGGCAGATTCTGTACGTTGTTTTTCAGTACTACGGTACGTGGTTCATCAGGGAAATGCATACCTGCGCCCAAAACCGTATGAAGGGAACTTGAGGTCTTCCCGGATTTTCCCCTCGCTGTCAAGCCATCTCTCGGGATCAAACTGGTCTGGGTTGGGATACACGTTCGGGTCGCGCGAGATAGCCCTGTCAAAGCATGATCAGCGCACACATTTCGCCTAAAATGCATATCATTCAGTACCAGTGGTTGCCAAAGACGATAGCGCCTTCTGGTATGCAAATGTCTTTCTGCTCGACAAGCGAATCAATTTAAGAATCACGCCTAGGCATTGGAAACGTACGTATGGGATATCGGTCAGGGCTCGGTGGGCGAATCCAAGAGTTGTCACGGGCCTCCAACGAAGACATTCAAGCATGAACGCCTCAATCTGGGGAAGGGAACCGTAGTCGTCCAACGTGGGAGCTATGATATCCAGGTTGAGAATCGTTTACTCAAATAAGCTCACATGTTAACCTACCCCTGTCACGACCAACGACGGTGTCGAGTTCCTCTTGCACTTTCTCCTGCGCCTTGGGATAGCAGGCAGCAGCCATGATGACAACCATAATTGCGACAGCGGTCGTGTCTGAACCGGCGCCAAAGAGCGAACCGGCGAGATAGGCCATTTCTTCGTCTGAAAGCTTGTGCGAAGCCTGATTCTCCAGAAGGTACCGAGAAAATGAGGGTCCAGCTTCGCCGGTCGCCTACGAAGCACTGGTCAGGTGGGTATTTAATAAAAGATGTTTAGAAACCTACCAATTCCTTCGAAACACGATTGAGTTGATCGTGGAAGAGCTGACTCTCTTCCCTTCTCCATTCCTCCAACTCGGTTGTGTATCCAGGAATGTATCTGATTATTGGGAAGCGTTCTACCAATAACGCACCAGGTCTCATGAGATTCTGGAAGCGCTTAAGCATCTTGTGGATGATGATGATCTCTGGAGCATCTACGGCGGTGGGCGTAGACTTTCCATACATGACACGCAAGACGACTGAAGCGGCATAGCTTGAGTTGAATGCATAAGCGGCCACAAAACCAACCATAGAGTAAAACATACCGATTCACGGCCGCTTGGTGTTCTTTAGGGTTATCAAGGATGTCAAAGATGACATCACGAGCAGCGTCCATCTGAATGGGCGCATAAGATTCTGCCGCCTTTGCTTGAAGGTGAGTGTGTGCGGCCCTGGATAATGTAACTTCAGCAAAGCAGTCGACAAAACAAGATATCACTCAACTTGCGAAGTCTCCGGAACTGCTCTCCTGCAGGTGCAAGGATCATACGTAAACCGGCAGACAGAATCTCTCCTGCTGCAACTGCACGAGGACGGTCTGCTAGCAGACCACCTTCTTTTTCCATAATGTCAACGGATTCCTGTACAAGTGAGTATGTGCTCTAGATAGCCATTAGTTCGGAGTCATCTTACCTGATGTCTACCAATAATGATCATGACCTTGGGCCCGATCCGGAGCGAGATGATTGGTCCATAGGTATTAATCCATTCAGCAAATTGTTGAGATTGGCTGTGATGCGTTCACTGTTAGTGTCCACGCAGACTCAGAGTTTATGTGCTCACTTTTCTCTTGGGAAAGCGTTTCCCAATAGCCAATGTCCAGGGGGTCCAGGGGGAAGAGGTAAACGTGACCTTGATCGTATCTTGACGCGGAGCAAACCGCCCGCCATCACAAGAGCCACCAATGCTCCCAAGGCCTTGAATCCAAATGTTAAGTCGAGCATATCTTATAAGGGCAAATACAGTAACTTAGTGGAAGGGAGAAAGAACGGTGAATACGTAGTGCGGCAAATCATGTTTTATCTTATAGCTGACGAGCTGGCAATCGAGCAGTGCTGGAGCGCTGACAATGGTGCGGACCAAACCTTTTGGGTTAATGCAAGGCCCCCAGATTGCTATTACTAATTTAAGCGTGATATTTTATTTATCCAGACATCACATGCAAGACATTTGGGTCAAAATGTGATTTTGCCCTGATTTTTCCGACGCGCCTAGACTGCGCTCATGTTTTAGTTTCATGAATTTCGGAATTCAGTTATCATGAATAATATTCTGTAACAAGTTGTAATGAGGCTTTGGTCTGTCTCGATGACAAGTACTAACGCAGGAGACATACTTTAGCTTATTATTTATACTAGTAATTCGTGTCTATGATGAGTTGAATTGGACAATATTTCCGCACATGGCCCGCATCATACACAAGTCCAGACGCCCGAGGCTCGAGACTTTTTCACCATTAATTCAAACAAGTTGAAACACCTATGTTCCGGGGGGCCTGTGATGGCTCCTAGGAGGCTAACGCTATGCCTAGTCGTCATGCACGTCATGAGACGCAACTAGTACGCCGAATTGATGGTCGATGCAGTGATCCCCCCGCGGTGTTCGCAGTGGACATATATGACATATGAAATCAATTAGCGTGTCTGAGACCAATATTCGAGCACAACCTAATCGGGTTGAAAGTTTTAGGCGTGATTCAAAGACGAAAAAACGTCTGTTTAGAGTCTAGAGACCAAGTCACCAAGGACGATGCTATGGCCACTTACTGGCAGAGCGGTTGCTAGTACCAAACTAGTAGGCACTTGACGCATGGTAGTTGATATGGTGCCCGCATTTACTACCTTCATATGGTATTCGCAAGTTCCCACCCTATTTTAGTATTCACCGCCACCTTGAGCATGTCTCCTGGAGCTGGCAGGTGACGGTCGGCGTTACCAGGCATTATACACCGTGGCTCGTGTGCGGAAGGAGTCAAGCGTGTTTAGGCGTCGCCAAGAACCTCTGAAAACACTCTAGTCCCTGAAAGGACTAGTGATCAGTGAAAGACCAGGACCAGCCTGAATTTGATAGAGATACGGTATGACTATCAACCTGGGTTATATGCCCGCATCCAAGAGTGTTCGGATATTCGGAATTCCTCTGGTCCCGACTCCCGTACCTTTTCATCCAGTATCGCGGGCGCGGCACTCGTGGGTTGTTTTGAGCGGAAGAGAAGTCCATCCACCCGGGCTAAGGATGATCAATCTCAAACATGTAAGCACCTTCTGCTACCCTCTGTTTGACGCCGCACCTTTTTTTTCCTTTTGACCAAGATTAGTGAGCGGAACTGTCTTACATTCCAACTTACTAACGTCCCAACTTTTTGTGATCAACATTAGTAACTCACAGGCTTCATCATACCCAAGTTGATCATACGAGTAACCCTGTTACTAATATTCATGATTTGGTGCGTTTTCTCATTGTTAATTGCTTTACTTGTAACTGTCTACTTATAGTTGCAACTCTGAGTCCCGAAACCTGTCCACTGATAGGCGATCAATCTTCTTTGGCATAAGGATAGGAGTGGCACAACTTGCAAGACAATGAAACCTGGCCTTTTAATGTACGAACGCTGTAAGCAAATCAAGCCACTGAGTACTGAACAGTTGTCTGCGCCTAAACCACTCATGACGTCATCATGTCCGTAGGCCGGGTGAAGAGCAGTGCATTGCAAACAACATCAAGACTAGAATGCGCCACGACACGAGTGAGACACTGAATGGAACGAGTCCAACTTCGACTGACAAACCAATGGCCCTGTGCCCGGCCCACCCTGATACCGACTCGGAAGGTGGCATCGAATAAACAATTTTTTTTACTTCATTCAACTAGTTCACCGCAACAACACTATGTGCAATGTACATAACCGCGTATTCAAGAATTACGACTATGCTTAACAAATCGCCGTAACAAATAATCTGCAACAGCCGAGCTCAGTTGAGTCTCCACCAATCATCGGGACCGGCCCCCAGGAAAACTTTACATCAACGTAAGCGCAGAAGCTCTGCAGGATTAGACTCTGGCGAATACTAACCTTGGATAATTTAAGTTACGATGCTGACTACCCAAGTATTAGGTGAGTCAACAATCCGACGAACAGCATCAGACGCACAGCAGACCGTACGTGGCCAGTGACTGATCATAAATTCGCATCGTAAGGTTGAACGTTGAACCTTCGCATAGTAAGCACGAGTGAAGGCTTCTATTGTACTTAGTTATCACGTTAATGCCCGGTAGTCGGTAATGGGATTATAATTTTCTTAACCGATCTGATAAGACATTTGGTCACTAGTGATGCATACAAGTTTGGTGAAGGGGCGGCGGCCCCCATGTTGTTGTGGGCGCAAGTACTAGATTCTGGACCCTTGCATCATATATGCCGGAACTCGCATTTAATACGGTCCCTCTCGCCTAAACTTGAAGACTAAGCCCTGAAGAAATTTGAAATGTGAGTACCTAGTAGTTCCAAAGATGGCCAGAGTCAATGTGCACCAGGGGGCATAGAACCTTCGAGTTCCTGCAATGTCTACATGAACACCGGGGCTGCCCGCGTTTTGCTATCGTACCAATGCCCGAAGAGTGCCTTTGGTGAGGTAGAATGCACGACGAATACCAGAAGTTCCGATCCCTATGCTTCGATATGACCACGGATCACTGGACCAGGTTTTGCTAGCAGTTGTATTCAATATTAAGGATCGAGAACCTTGTTTGACACCCAGGTCGCGAAGGTAAAAAAAAAGTGTAAACTTCAACGGGGGATTTGAATTTGAATTCGACGGCATTCGTCAGCGTTCTGCCTTGGTTGACGTTCCAGCTTAGTTGGGCCTCTCCACACCGGCGAAGCTTTTACCAAGCTCCGATAATCATAAAACCCATGCGGTTGCCTTTAGATATGCATTTTTCATTAAAGTTAACGTTACGACCAACCGCGGGGCTTATATCATTTGCCGTAGGTCCAAGTAGTACTACGGCGTTTTGTATTATTGCATCCGGGGGTGGACCCTTGCGAAAACGGAAGTCGGATTCAATTGACAAGCTACCTCGAGACCTCAGGCCTCAGAGTCAGTCTGAGTTGTTCAAAGGATAGTTGGAAGGATTTTAAAAATACTAGAACATATTCCTGGTAGGATTCGTGGGTTTGATGAAGCTGGCACTGTTCCTTGTCTAAGAATACGGACATAAGTACAGCATCTTATCTCAGCCAAGTTATGGGAATACCTTTACATACAGTCACCGTGGGAAATATCAATGGGGCAGAGTCTGGGTATATAGACGCCCTACTCAGTTCCTTACTACCTTCAAGATCTACACAGCGAGCCACAATTTTTTTATCTCTCCCTTTCATTATCGTTTTCTCTCTCTCTCTTCAAGCATCCAGTCCGATAATGCGCTCCGTAGACGGTCCCAAGATTGTCCGTCAGATTCGCTGTCTATTGACAGCAATGTCCTTCAAGGTCCATGCGAAACGGTAAGTGTTTCATCCTCTGATACGTGGGATGGTGCCCTCAGTAACGTCGAGCAACCACCTGTGTAGTTTTTTGTTGTTGTCTAACCTTTCTCATTACAGGCGAAACGCCTTCTCTGATAATCCCCGCACATCATTCATTCATTCACCCGCACTCGACCTTCCATATCTACCAACGGAAATATGGCTCATGATTTTGCGCGAAGCCACAACCATGAACTCAGACCCCCTCGATATCTCCCTTGGTCTATCATTTTTGGAAACTACCTGCGAAGTCTCAGAATACCACGCCTCCATGAAGATCAAGCGGGACCTATCGCTTGTGAGCAAAATGTGGAATAAATACATGCGGGAGTACCTATACGAGTTTGTTTGGATCAGTCGAGCAAGCCAAGCAAAAGCGCTCGCACTCACCTTACTCACACAATTTATCGAGGGTAAGCCCTCCAGCGGCAACTACATTCGCCGATTACACATGGAAACGCCCGTCCTCATGCGGTGCGCCACGGATGATATCCGTACCATTCTTGATTACGCCCCCCATCTCGTCATCTATTCTGATCATCACTCAGTGCGATGCATGCGATATTCAGAGTTTATTGATGTGCGCTGTTCCCCCGAACAGATGGTTTCTGTTCTTGCGAGTTCGAATAGCAAACTCCGCAAACTTTCTCTCACCAACTATAGCGATGACCCCTTCCCAAAACATGTGTCGCCGCTCCTCCGGCGCACTGCAGCTAACCTCGAATACCTGGAACTTTCATCGTCCACTATACCCCTTGTTTCTGGTCACCTCTTCGCATCAAAATCCCCCATCGTTTCCCTTCCTGTACTTCAATCACTTAAGCTCACCCTCGATAACACAACCTTTGCGGTACTTGCGGCATGGGACATGCCAAATCTGCGAAATGTCTCCGTAGTCTCTTCAGATTTTGGCTACGCAGGACCCGGGTTCGCTTATTTCTTTGCCGCACATGGCAAAAAACTACACCAGTTGGAACTGGGTCACTCTTCTTCGCTCGTTGTTGAACACTACCTCTCACTTCATCCTCGGCCTGTGCAACATATTCCACTAGCAGAGTGGTGCCCCAACCTCAAAGAATTCATCTGTTCTGCGGATGCAGAGTGGAGCTGGCAGAACCCAGATTGGATAGCGCCACACGTCCTCCTTCCTGGGCACAAAAGCCTGGAATTCATTGGCATCCGAGATATCGATAAGCGCCTCATGGATGACGCATCTGCTTTCCCTGCTGACAGGGAAGATGAGGCGCCGTTTTTCCCATTGGTGGAGCAAATCTCGTCGCTACTCTTTAATGACGCCTTCCCCTCTTTACGGTACATACGTGACTTGAGCCGGGGATCCCATTCGATGCGCGTCGGACAACGTCCCGAGACGCGAATCTTGAAATTCTGGGCCAAGATTCTTGCCCGTTGTGGTGAGCGGCAGGTCTGGCTCGAGGATTTCCGAGGCGTCAATATTACGTTACGGGATCTGAAACGGGCAGGACTTGACCGTATAGGAGGTGCTGGCACTCTCGTCTAGTTTTTTTATTCCCTTCACTTCTGTGCTCTCTACATGCATACCCTCCTTATCTTGCGTTCTGCGTCACTATCTATCTGAGTCACTGTCCGTCTATCACTGTATCAAAAAGTCGTACATGCATTCTTCATTCACCCCATAACCACATACTGCGAATACCATAGCACTCGTTTCTCGGTCCTCTTCATTTTTTTTCTATTCACTTTACATCCCTCTTCGGGCTCCCAGCATTCGTGCGCGCATACCTTGTTATCTTCGTGGAGTTGGACGCCTTTCCGTTGAACTGTCTCATTTCCATTTTCTTGGTCTAGGGTCTTCGATGACTGTAGCATTACCACCGCATCACATCACATCGTACATACTATCACACGCTCGTTGCGTCGTCATTCGTTCTCTCTTTCCTGGTTGGTTTTGGATGCATCTTTGTGGCCTATATCATGTAGTAGGATGGAAATTACATTTTTTTGGAGAATATTTTTGGTCTAGCATGAACGCTGTGATGACTTGAAAATCTGATCAGCCAGATCTGGGATCTGAGATCTGGGGATAACTAGATGACTCCACACCCCACAGCACTTGTCAAGCACCCGTAACCATTTGTTCCATCTCATTCTAATTACTAGCAACCTGACTAATTAAAACAATGGTAAGCGCACTTGACTCATATCCATCATCCGCTCATCGCCTTCCAGGACGCCGACATCGAGCACCTAGTCCTCTCAGGCAAGCTCTTCGGCACAAACTCCCGTTCCTCCTCTCCCGAACGCAGCCCCTCCCCAACCCTCTCCTTCGCATCCGCATCCTCCGACTCCTCCCACCGCCACATCCACCAACACAACTGCGATGCCACGGCACAACAAGAGTCCATCGGCATGGGGCCCGGGCGCACGGGCGTAAAAGGCGTCATCCGCGATCAACACGAAGCAGCTGCGCTCCAAGCTGAGCGGCGCGCACGCGAAATGGAAGAAGTGCGGAAGCGCATGGAGAGGGCTGATCTCGGGGGGAAAACGTTCTTAGAGGAACAAGCGGAGAAAGACGCGCTTGATCCTGAGAAGCGGACGAATGTGCTTGGGATACCCAAGACGGGGCGGTTTGGGCATCTCAGGGAGGTCGGCCGTGGGGGGTTCGTGAGTGCTGTGGAGAGGGAGGATAGAGGTGTTTGGGTTGTTGTGCATTTGTATGAGTCGGTGAGTTGGTTTTTTTTTTGGCGGGGTGGGTTGGTTTTTGATGGGCTTTTTTTTTTTTTTTGATAGTCGTTGGATCGGTGTTATGCTCTTGATGAGGTGTTGGCGAGGCTTGCGAGGGTGTATCCTGAGACGAAGTTTGTGCGTGCGCGGGCGGCTGCGCTTGGGTTTGCGTCGACTGCGTTGTCGTCGTCGTCGACTCGGGTGCGGTCCAAGTTGAATGGGATGCCTGGGCGGTTTGTTGAGGATGATGATGAGGATCCGTATGCTGATGGGGCTGATGAGAAGCCTTATTATGATGAGGAGGAGGAGGATGAGGGGGAACAGGAGGAGGACGTCGACACCGACATGCTACCAACATTACTGGTCTACCGCGACGGTGAGCTCGTGCATAATTGGGTACGCGTAGACTGGGAAGCAGGGCAGGCGGGTGTTGAGGATTTGCTTGCAAGGTAACTGATCTTATCTCTCATTCTCAGAACCTCACGCATGATCATGTTTGTAGACGAAACGTCATCTCATCATTCAGGTCAACTGGCAATTGTGGTTTGCCAGAAGATGACGTTGATGATCTGATATGGAGCGACGAAGATGAACGATGACCCCGCGAATCGGGGTTCTTACTGTTCAAAAAATCATACCTGTCTTTGTGTCTTCCGACTTCGGTGGACCCATTCTCTGGTATTGATATTGGGTTGCATATGGACATTGTAACCTGATACTTAGGATGTGTTCTTGGATTTCATGTACCCAATACTGTACATAGTCTATTCTAGCGATGTGCGGGCGCGGCTCGGGGATCCGGGCTTGGGCTTTGTAAAACCTCAGCTGAGGAGTGGCTAGACTTGTTCTTTCAAGGACGAGTATATTTGTAGCTGTACAGTACTTAGTCGTCGTCAGCTGAATGAACATCAGACTGTATCCCCCTCCTTCGAAATCGGTGTATATCACCCCTTGTTATCTGCCGGTCCGACTTCTAACACCTCGGATTCTTCACCTTCAAGAGATGATGGACCGGGCTCCCGGATAGAAGATAACATTTAGCGCATCGCAGCCAGGGCCTCGATAATATCTCCTTTCAGCGAATTACGCTACTCGCTGATTGTGATTCCTTCTCGAGACGGATGCCTGCCATAATGAGTTAATAATCTCTTGCTAGCGAAGCTCACACTGGATATCTATCTCTGGGCATCGATCTTAACAAAAACAATAATCAGCAACAAAACCTCTAAGCGAGTGAAGTCACTCACGAATAGTGGTCATACCCGCTGAGGGAGCCGCCTCGTGAACTCTGCCCTCCACGGTTTTGATGAGACGTGAAGCCATAGTCAGTTTCCCCAGGCCGCGGCAAACCTTGTTTTTTATGATTGTGTTGCTGCGATAACACTAGATTTTGAGGCTAGTAGCCCATCGTAGCGTTATTTGAACACGTTCTTGGCGCAAGCAACTTGAAGCAAGCACATGATCAAATAAGTTCGATACGGTCGGTACTTTTCGCCGAGAATTTGTAGTAGGTCCAAAGGCTCGTTTGAAGGACTGTTGGAGTGAGCGCATTGAGATATGGGTTTGATTCAGAACGAGGAATCGAAGGACTGTTAAAGTGAAGTTAGGCTCGTTAGGTAGCGCCGAGAATTTGCAGTTACTAGGCTTGTTTGAAGGACTGTTGAAGTGATCATCGATCTTGTGAAGATAAGTACGAAGTTTGATTTCGAATGACGTAGCGGCATCTATAATGAAAGCCGTGACTTGAGCCGCCGGGTGCTATGACTATCACGGCTAGACCATGTACTGATCTCGTGAGGGAACATAGTACTTAGTCTGAGACTGAGGACATTGCGATGGATGTGGATGAATAGTACTTTTGGATGTGTACCATCGCCTGTTGGTTGTTCCAAGTTTGTTCTGATCCGAGCCTGTGCCATGTGCCAAGATCCGTGCGACTACGTAACTCGATTGGGATTTATTGGATCATTGGCCGTGGGCCCAACCTTGCATCGGCTTCCGTACATACAGATCGCAGTATCTCTGTCTGCGACCAGTGTGAGAATCCCTTATCAAGCCAAGTGCTGTCCCAAACAACCAAGCAACCCACCGTTCTTTGCCCAGACTCGTTTCTCAGATCTCAATATTAATATCCAAATTCGAGCAACAAGCCATGTCTACAGCGGGCTACACGCCTCTCCCTCAGAACCCCCAAGGTATAAATCAGTCTCACCATCGAAAAAAATCGTGTCCGCTCATAATGCTTTAACATCTAGACGATGACCGCGACGACACTGAACGTTCAGTTCTCATTGCAGAGCAGGAAGCACATGCTGGCGTCATAAAAGTCGAGGCCGCACAGCGCGTATATGGGCGTTACTCTCGTTGGTGTCTCTTCATTGGGTACGTGAAACCACTCTCAAGTTGCGCCTCGTATACTAATTAATTAATAAACCGATAGCCTTGGACTTGCGTCATATATATACTCCCTTGATGCATCCACAACTTATGCATACCTTACATTCGCTACTTCATATTTTGGCGAGCACAGCTTTATCAGCTCGATCACCGTTGCCCAGTCACTTATTAGTAATTTCTCCTTCTTCTCACCCTTGACAGTGATTATTGACTGAATATTCACAGTCGCTGTTGGGAAACCTGTAATCGCTAAAGTCGCGGACGTCTCTTCACGAGGCACCGCTTACGTTAGTGTCTGTGAGTGCGCACTGCACCTTCAAGTCCTTGTCTGACTTTGTACTTCTAGTGATCTTTTACGTTCTCGGTATGTCGTTTCCATCGAACTCACTGCAGTCATCATTGATATCATGATCTGCCACTACTAGGCTATACCGTAATAGCTTCTGCCCCTAATGTCGGTTTTATTGCTGGGGGGATTGTACTATATGCTGTGTGCGCACCAATTCTTTTCTTCTTTTTCTATCATACTCATTTTTCTAGTGGATATACGTGAGCATATGCCGATAACGCCACTATTCTGGGCATTGATTTACTCGGCCCAGTGGATTGCAACTACTCACACAGATTATCATTGCTGACATCACCACCCTTGCGTGGCGTGGGCTTGTCGTCTCCCTCGTCTCTGCACCATTCTTGGTCAATGCATTTATTGGCTCAAACATTTCCACCGCAGTCCTCGAGACTATCGGTTGGAGATGGGGCTGTAAGTCTTGCGCATCATTTCACCTTGTCATCTTCTCAATTGCATGATGTGATTCATAGATGCCATGTTTGCCATCCTTGTCCCTGTTTCCCTTGCGCCCCTCATTTTCACTCTTCTGTGGGCGGAACGCAAGGCCAAAAGGATTGCTCTTCTCGATTCCAACAAATCACGTAGTCGCGAGAACTCAAGACAGCGAAGCCTCTCAGATATATCTGTATCCGCCATGGCTGTTTTCCTTCGTTCCGCTGAACAGCTTGACCTAGTCGGACTTGTCCTTCTCGGGGCCGCAGTTTCAATGACCTTACTTCCATTGACAATTAGTCAGGCTGTGTCAGGATCCTGGAAGAATGGTTCGTGGTCAATATCTTATTTTTCGGCGAGAGATTGACCAGTGTGCACGAAATGTAGGCTCGATCATTGCAATGCTTTTCATAGGAGTTGTGCTCCTTGTCGTGTTCGCAGTCTGGGATCTACGTTACGCCAGTATGCCCGTGATCGCTCCTCGGTTTGTCAAGAATAGAAGTGTCGTATGTGCCGCGTTCATCGGCTTTTTTGACTTCGTAAGTGTCAAGTGGCGTCGACATTTATTAGTGAGATTGATCGTTCGATGTTATAGATGTCGTTCTTCCTTACGTATACGTATCTGTTTTCGTTTGTCCTGGTGGTGAAACCTTGGTACCTTTTACCTTCTGCTTGTGAGAGTATGTGTTAACCTACCCTCTGAAGGTCACTCGTGAATGCGACGTACTTCATTCAGGTGCAATCCGTTGCACTGACATTCTTTGGCATTCTTGCGGGTCTCAGCATGCGTTTCCTCCATCGTTACAAGGTACGTCACTGTCACTGATCCATTCAAGACCGCAGTCCAGCTCAACCTTGAGCGGTAGTACGTACTCGTCGTCGGACTCGTGATCCGTCTAGCGTAAGCCTCTCAATCATTTCAACCAAACTTCCTGACCTACGTATTCTTGTCAGGGGTGTTGCAATGATGATCCATTCGCGTGGCGCCAACGCCTCAAATGCTGAGCTCGTGTGGACCCAAATCCTTCAAGGTTTCGGCGGAGGTTTTGCCGCTGTTTCTTCGCAAGTAGGAGCACAAGCATCCGTACCCCACACAGATGTGGCGATCATCACGGCGATCGTGCTCCTAGTGACTGAAATCGGGGGCGCAGTTGGGAACGCATGTGGTATGTTCACTCTCATGCATATCTAGAGTCGTTGATTAGATGGAAACACAGCCGGTGCGATTTGGTCGAACACGATGCCAAGTAACCTAGAGAAGTATCTGCCATCGTTGTCTGCCGAGGAGCGTGCAGAGTTATTTGGGAGCATAAGGTCAGCAGCTTCCTATCCGCTCGGTCACCCCATACGAGAGGGCGTCATCAACGGTGCGTTTTAAATAGATGTGCTATGTATATATTAATGCAAATACTCACCGATCATGTTTCAGCGTACGACGACACGATGAAGATTATGGTAACCACGGCAACCATACTGAGCGTGATACCTATCTTGCTTGCGCTCGCGATGCCGAACTGGTACTTGGGGGACAAGCAGAACGCGATTGATGCTGCTGATCTCACCGGAAGGTCGGAGCTCGAAGACGACCTCGAGGATGAAGAAGAGCTGTAGTTTTATTCTTGTTGGGCGAGACCTTTTTTATCATATGCAAGTGGTTGCTGCTGTGCGGCTCGCCTTGTGGGAGGAAAACAACATTCTATTCCTGCTCACGTTTAACAATCCTTTCTGCTTCGATCGTGGTCGGTTACATAACATCGTAAAGAGTTGTACTGCTGGATAGAGAATGATGTTTATGTTAGGAATGTTGTCTTTAAGTAACTAGAAATGCGAGTTTTATGGGGTTCTGTGGATGATCTAGTAACAAGAGCTGCTCAAGTCTGTTAGGGACATTTTGAAGCATCATTATCAACAGAAATCGCAACTGTCGGGCTCGCACTACATCGTAAGCACTTGTAGTTGACAGTGTGGTGGATTCAGATTAACACTGCTTTTTCAGGATACTAATCTACGCTTCATCCTCTAGTGGGAGCATTATTGTTCATTACTTTTTATATCATATTACTAACTAATCTAGTGTTCTACGTGTCAGACAATTAATGTATCAGTCTTGGTCTCGTCAACTAGATGTCTAGTTCCTTCCAAGCGGTGAAAACGCACCGAGGTGTGCGAGGGATATGAAATCTACCAAGGGGCATCTTGAATAATCAACCGTATCGGATCCTCTTCCCTGCATTAGCTGGCGTAGGCGACGTTTCACCTTCTTCTCGGGGCCTCTTCTGCTTGCGGAGGTCGAGGAGCCGACAAAGTTTGATATCACCAGCTTCTTTTTGCGCATAATCGAGATATTCTGCGGCTTTTGCATGCATATCTTCCCGAAGGGAGTCATCAAGCACAATCAAGGGGTGGTCAGCCTCTGCCTTAAGATAACTGGCTTGGAGAGTATATGCAAAAAGCGCAAGATTATCGCAAACCTTAAAGCATCTATCTGAAAGGATGGATTTGCAGGTGTGGCGAAGTTCTGTGATGTCAGTGAAGAAGTCCCGGCGTGTTGGCTGGCCAATCGCACCAGGGAACGCCAGCTGATGTTGTCTCAACTGCGCATCCACATCAAAGGAATCGTTCGAGTTCGCCGTGATCGTGTCCGTGTGATAAAAGAAGATCCACGCATATGTCCACCATACAGATTCGATGTCGTGCAGGAGGTTCATGCGGAATGGAGGGGGGGACGGGACGTCTGTATCACCATATGTTGGAGGGGGAGCTAGGGTTCGGAAAAGGTATCGCTGATGTTCAACTTCTATCGCCATGAAATGCATTGTTCCCTGCCGACGAGTTAGCAGCAAGAGGTATCGTCTTCAGAAATTCTTACCATTCGAACGTCGTGAGAAGTGTTTGGATCTATCTCTTGCGCGTACTCGAAGTCACCCAGTTTGCCGATACCCCCGTTGTCACCGACGACCCATATCACATTCCCGACGCTGAAATCGTGATGGATCCAACCTGCTTTATGCAAATAATATAGGCCTAAGGGTGGCATGAGCGATTGAGGTAAGGAGAATAAGAATAGTTGCTTTACCCTTCAGTCCGCCAGACAAGCAACTCAAGCTGTCGGCCAGACAGATTAGATCCTTGACAGTGACTCCAACATCATCAAAAATGATGCGTGCGTGAACTCTCTGTGGGATTCGTGTTTCCTTTCGTCCAACAATGCCCAATTGTGCGGGAAAGAAGGCAGATGGTTTACCACTGTCGGGTACGTCGCCCGTAGCAGATGAATGCAGCCTTTCGCAGAGGATGGGCTTGGGATCGATAAGTTTCCACTCCCAGGTGCCATCATGCTCGTCTCCGGCCACCGGGTTCACCGTCTCATCCGAGGCACCGTCGATTGTGACATCCTTCCAGAGCCGGACTCCAATGAAGTGTCTCTTGGCATCGGCAAAATCCTCTGCTCCCAACTTCTTCTCGCAGGAGGCCAAGATTTTTTCTAGTATCTTGCCCTCGGATTGACGGTCAATTTCTCTCCACGAATCTTTGATGGCAACCTTCTTCCCTTTAGCGTCCGTGGCTTCGTACACGCGAGTTCCACGTCCAACCATATAGTCCGCGCCGTAGGTGGCAAGTTCCCGTGTTGTGGTGAACACTTCGTCTCCTACTGTGAACTTGTATTGCACTTTTCCTCCTACATAGATCCTCTCGACAGTGGGGTCCCATCCGAGCCCTTTCAAGGAGGTAGACGTAGATGCAGATCCAAGAACATAAAAGAGAGAGATGACACGATCAATGTCCTAGATGTATTATACCACTTAGTACCACTGACATACAGCGCGATAAGGTGGCGTACCTCGAAGCAGTCGATAGGCTCTGTGACTGTGAGGAACCCACGATTGCCGAGCCACAGTCTCAATTGCGTGTCCTCGATTGTGATACCGAAGGCAAACCGACGACAGGGGTCCTCGCGCATGATGTTGTGAAGGCTCCAGATTATCTTGTGTTCGTTCTAGAGCAGAGTTTATAAGCCGGCGCCGAAGAGATCTGCGACAACAACTTACGTCTCGGAGGGCTTTTGCATCCCGTTCCTTCTTGAATGCGAATGGCACAGCAATATCGAACCAATGCATCCTGAGTGCAGTTCGATCGTTCGCCCGTACAAGGTATCCATCCGGCAGGGAAGTATTATGGCTCTCTGAGAGGGGCATATTCGATAGGTAGGATACTCCACAATCCGGGACTTGTTCCAAGATTCCAGAGATGATTCCCTCGAGCTTGAACGTCATCTCTTCGGACATATCCGCAGGTCGAATGAAGTCCTTCCATTCCAGGCCGTCGTTGGTGAGAATCTCGCTCCGAATTAAGTGGTCGCGCATCTCCTCCAGACGCTGCTGAGAAGGCACGGCACCAACACACTTCGCTAGGGAAACGAATGGGGCCTGCAGATACCTCCTCAAATCAGTAAGAACAGCCTCGCGACCTAGCTCCAAATCTTCCGTGCGATAGTCAGATTGTGAGGTGTGGGGAGGGACTAGTGCTGTATCTGGCGGTGGTACCTGTGACTTCTGTGATGGTGGTGTATGAGGGGTAGCCATCGTGATTCGATCTGCGAAACAGTTTGGCTTTGGGGAGAAATCCTCGAGGTTGCACAAGAACAAGACTGAAACTGTTATTGCAGCACTTAAATACCTTCGCATTCGCAAATGTGGCTACGTACCTCAGGGACCTAGAAAGTCTGGGATTTGGTCTGGGACCCATCGGTAAGCCCGGCAGAGTTCAACTGAGTTTAAACCATTGCTTTATGACAAAGCACGACTTTGTTATATTCCAAGTAAGTTCGAGGTCTTGAAGTTTTTGCAAAGTGGAAAGCTTCTGAATAAGGAAAATCCTCAAAGCCATTGCACAACAGACCAAAACAACGCATACCCTCGTCTTCTGAACTCTGCACTGATCTGGTACAACCGAGGGCTACGGCGAATTCTAATATAAATACAACCCACGCGTGATGCGTGCAGCCCTGAAAAGTCACTGTAAGCGTGTATAGTCTATTATCTCAAAACGTATCATGATTTCCCTTACAGTAGAATGATTCTTTCATCTTGCGTCATATGGAACTATCACGGGCTGTGTTCTCTCTGTCCCATCACCAGTTAGCTCGTGGAATCCTCATGTAAGCGCTAGGTCGAAACCATGGTTTCTATCTCACAAGTATTGCGGTATGATGCTTTGGATGGTTTCATTATATCACCCCTTCAAATTACCGCATCAAAAGCAAGGGCTACGCTGGTTTGCAACGCAGTGGACACACAAGGTAAGCGTCTTTGCACAGGTACAATAAAAATGCCACTGGTATCGCAAGGTAGCGTTATGTTGTTAATGTATGTTCGTTCGCCATCTGTGTTACCAACTTGTAGGGTCGGAGCTGTCTGGGTGAACTCCCTTAGCGTTTCGGAGGTTTCGGAGCTCGTGGTGTCTGCCAAATTATACTCATACAGCCCAGCGAACGATAAGGCAATATCCTTCTCCACATCTCACTCAACTGAGTTTCTCAGACTCCACACTGATTGACCTACGTCGAATCCTTGCTTTATTACGCTCTTGAAGGACAGATGTATCCGAGTTCAACGCACTTGACCGTAGGTCCTCTTATGAATATTGTCCAGCAACAGTGATCCTAGATTCCGTCCTTGAAGGATCAATCACGACTCTGTATTTTTCTCTTTTATGACCCCCACGTTGTTTGACGACTTCACAATGTCCACGCTTCCATTATCATCTCTTACCCTCTTCAATTTCTCCTCCGAATAATCGGAAGTACATCAACTTTGCCTTTAGGCCAATTTTTATCTCGAAAAGCCCATACCGGACTTGGAAAAAAGAGGTTTGATCTCATTGGTGCATTCAACCGCGCGTAAGTTATAATGGAGGGAAGGGTGCCATTCTGAAGATTACTCAAACATTGTCGCCGTCCTCGAGAAGCTCTCAAAGTTTTGTTCGTCATTCAACCTTGATGTCGTATAGCTTTGGCAACGCGAGCATGATTCAGGGAAAAAATCGCGGCAAAACCCTGGATATGGTGCTACAAAGGCTTATCAGACGCGACAGTATGCAGTTGCGCAGACATTCAGGAGATCGGTGTGTAATGAAACTTTCCAATAAGACTCACTCACAAAATGTAAAGCATGCCAAGGGTGATCTGACGTTTAGCAGAGTCAATGGATTTTGGCTACCTGGCAAAACGTTGGCCTCATTATTATCGGCAAGCACAACAGCTACGAGATACTCGTCTAGCATCTCCTCGTCTTTATCATACAATCAATAAATAAAAGTCAACCCTGTCGGATCCTCTTCCCTGCATTATCTGGCGTAGGCGACGTTTCACCTTCTTCTCGGGGCCTCTTCTGCTTGAGGAGGTTGAAGAGCCGACAAAGTTTGATATCACCAGCTTCTTTTTGCGCATAATCGAGATATTCTGCGGCTTTTGCATGCATATCTTCCCGAAGGGAGTCATCAAGCACAATCAAGGGGTGGTCAGCCTCTGCCTTAAGATAACTGGCTTGGAGAGTATATGCAAAAAGCGCAAGATTATCGCAAACCTTAAAGCATCTATCTGAAAGGATAGATTTGCAGGTGCTCTGAAGTCTTTGGATGCGAGTGAAGAAGTCCCGGCGTGTTGTCTGGCCAATCGCACCAGGGAACGCTAGCTGATGTTGTCTCAACTGCGCATCCACATCAAAGGAATCGTTCGAGTTCGCCGTGATCGTGTCCGTGTGATAAAAGAAGATCCACGCATATGCCCACCATACAGATTCGATGTCGTGCAGGAAGTTCATGCGGAATGGAGGGGGGGACGGGACGTCTGTATCACCATATGTTGGAGGGGGAACTAGGGGTTGGAAAAGGTATTGCTGATGTTCAACTTCTATCGCCATGAAATGCATTGTTCCCTGCCGACGAGTTAGCAGCGAGAGGTATCGTCTTCAGAAATTCTTACCGTTCGAACGTCATGAGAAATATTTGAATTGATCTCTTTCGCGTACTCGAAGTCACCCAGTTTGCCGATACCCCCTACCCAATTCACGTTCCCGACGCTGAAATCGCGATGAATCCAACCTGCTTTATGCAAATAATATAGGCCTAAGGGTGGCGTGAGCGATTGAGGTAAGGAGAATAAGAATAGTTGCTTTACCCTTCAGTCCGCCAGACAAACAACTCAGGGTGTCGGCCAGAGAGACTAGATCCTTGACAGTGACTCCAACATCATGGAAAACGATGCGCGCGTGGATTCTCTGTGGGATTCGTGTTTCCTTTCGCCCAACAATGCCCAATTGTGCGGGAAGGACAGCAGATAGTTTACCACTGTCAGGTACGTCGCCTGTAGCAGATAAATGCAGCCTTTCGGAGAGGATGGGACCGAAATCGATAGGTTTCCACTTCCAGGTGCCATCATGCTTGTCTCCGGCTACCGGGTTCACCGTCTCATCCGAGGCATCGTCGATTGTAACATCCTTCCAGAGCCGGACTCCAACGAAGTGTCTCTTGGCATCAGCAAAATCCTCTGCTCCCAGCTTCTTCTCGCAGGAGGCCAAGATTTTTTCTACGATCTCGCCCTCAGATTGGCGGTCAATTTCTCTCCACGAATCTTTGATGGCAACCGTCTCCCCTTTAGCGTCCGTGGCTGCGTACACGCGAGTTCCACGCCCAACCATAGAGTCCACGCCGTAGGTGGCAAGTTCCCGTGTCGTGGTGAACACTTCGTTTCCTACTGTGAATTTGTATTGCGTTTTTTCTCCTACATGGATCCGCTCGACAGTGGGGTCCCATCCGAGCCCTTTCAAGGAGGTAGACGCAGACGCAGATCCAAGAGCATGAAAGAGAGAGATGACACGATCAATGTCCTAGATGTATTATACCACTTAGTACCACTGACATACAGCGCGATAAGGTGGCGTACCTCGAAACAGTCGATAGGCTCTGTGACTGCGAGGAACCCACGATTGCTAAGCCACAGTCTCAATTGCGTGTCCTCGATTGTGATACCGAAGGCAAACCGACGACAGGGGTCCTCGCGCATGATGTTGTGAAGGCTCCAGATTATCTTGTGTTCGTTCTAGAGCAGAGTTTATAAGCCGGCGCCGAAGATATCTGTGACAACAACTTACATCTTGGACAGCTCTGGCATCCCGTTCCTTCTTGAATTCGAAGGGTACACCAATATCGAACCAATGCATCCTGGGTGCAGTTCGATCGTTCGCCCGTACAAGGTATCCATCGGGCCGGGAAGTATTATGGCGCTCTGAGATGGGTATTTCATTTGGATTCGATTCGTAGGATACTCCACAATCCGGGACTTGGTTCAAGATTCCAGAGATGATTTCCTTGAGGGGCTCGAACGTCTTCTCTTCGGACCTCTTCAAGTTCGCAGGTCGAATGAAGGCCTTCCATTTCGGGTCGTTGTCGGTGAGAATCTCCCTCTGAATTAAGTCGTCGCGCATATCCTGCAGACGTTGTGGGGAAGGCATGGAACCAACACACTTTGCCAGGGAAATGAACGGGACCTGCAGATACCTTCCCAAATCAGCGAGAACAGCCTCGCGGCCTAGCTTCAGATCTCCCGTGCGATAATCGGATTGTGAGGTATGGCGAGCGATTGGAGCTGTATCTGGCGGTGGTAGCTGTGACTTCTGTGATGGTGGTGTATGAGGGGTGGCCATCGTGATACGATCTGCGAAACAGTTCGGCTTTGGGGATAAATGCTCGAGGTTGTGCAAGAACAAGACTGAAACTGTTATTGCAGCACTTAAATACCTTCGGATTCGCAAATAGATTTGGCCAGTGGACAGTCTAGTCTGAGTAACGAAAATCGGCATCCTCCGAGTGGGATTTGAACTCCGCTCGATGTTTCGAACGACCATGTCAATCAATAGGGAAACGCACGGGTACGGGTAACACCGCGGTTTTTTGCTGACGGGTTTTGCGGGTATGGGTAAGGTGTTGGATATTCATACCGGTGACCATACCGCGACCCTTTACCGCGGGTTGGCGGTGTTTGACAGGTATGACTTATCAAATCGGGAACCTTTGTCACAAATTTCCTAAAACGATTGTAATCAGGAACCATTCACATCACGTTACAATCGCGTTTACAACCTTGCTGTAAGATTGATGGCGGGGTTTCAATCACTTGCAATGCACATGCAATGTGATTGATATGCATCTTACTTGCTTACTTACTTGAATTCCTCTTTCACAGCATTCTTGAGCGTTCTCCTCCCTCCTTTCCACCCATGTACATAACTTTTGTATTCCTGTTGACAAAATGGGCCCTGAGAGGTCAAAATATTGCGACTTGTCTCAACAAGACATCAAGCCATGCGGTTACACCTCTTGTTACAGTAACATGTAAAACCCCTATACTCATTTTCCTTTCACTTACAAACGGGCCGTCCGTACCTCGCTTATCTCTTATCATGCCTATCTCTTATCTTGACTAAGCGGGCTGTCCGCCTCTTCTTACTTCTATCTTGATAACATGCATTTACAAGCTCCGCTTGAACATTGGTATATAAACTTAGCTACCTACGGTTGTATTCTTCACTTTAATCTACTGGGTTTTACCTGGAACATTGTCCTTCAGCAAGGTCTCCAACCTTGCTGCCTAAGAACCACTATTCTAAGGGAGTCAGCGACACTCGCCTTAGCCAGAAACACTTGATCTCTCAATCGAGAGCAGACTTACGTCTATCTGGCATCTTGCCGATTGTCTACTCAGACAGAGATAGCTCGACTCATCCCAGTCGTAACAAAAGATTAAAGTCTTTATTACTTGAACCGTTGCCATCTGCAACGAAACCGACACCACGACTTCGTTAACTCCTTTGATCGGAGCCTTGAACTTAGGAGCTCTACCAACCATTCCTCCTTTGAACACCATGACGACCCAGAACAAAGATATAGAACTAAAGATCGGTTCCCCTCCCGAATTCGATGGAGACAGAGAAGAATCAAAGAGATTCATGATGAAATGTCACGCATACCTCGACATTAACGACAAAGTCTACGTTGATGATAAGAAGAAAATCATCCTCGTGTTATCCTACATGACGAAAGGAAATGCAGCAGCTTGGGCGGAAGACTTCATGGAAGCAGCCCTAGACCCCAAGAGAAAAGACACCTCTGGACAAATGATCGGCTATGGGACCTGGGCCAAATTCAAAAAGGACTTCGACGAAGCCTTTAAACCCATGGACCCCGCCGGAACTGCCATGATGAAGATACGAGAGTTAGAGATGAAAGGAGATCTCCACACCTACATCTCCAACTACAAACTCCTCGCGCACAGAGCAGGAATGACCGAACAAGCCCCCCTCATCGAATTCTTTCGACAAGGCCTAGACTACGGGCTTCAGGACAACCTGCACCGAACAGGTGAAACTCTCGATAACTTCGACACCGTCGTCAACACCTGCATTAATCTCGATAACGCCTTCCAAAGATGGAAAGCCATCAAAAAGAAAGAGAGACCCCAGCAACAGAAGAAGAAGAACTTCGGAAATAGACACTACGTCCCAAAAAGGAACGACGACATGGAAGTCGACCGCATAAGCCGTCTCTCGGACGCAGAATTAAAGAAGCACCTCAAAGAAGGAAGATGCTTCAAATGCCACCAAGTAGGACACCGTGCCAACGACACCTCCTTCCACCCCAGAGAAAGAGGACAGATCCGAAGAAACAAAGAGGAAGAAAGTAGCAGCGATGACGAAGTCGAA